GAAACATATAACTTGTTAACAATGATGGGGATGTGTGTCTCAAATCATTGTTATATATGTACTTATGATGATTTCTACTTTTGATAGATTAGACAAATGAAATGTTGTAAGACGATTACGTTGTTAGGTAATGCGTATACATTTATTTTTGTTTTGACTTAGATACTTTGATAAATAATAATAAATGATGACCAAGATAAATTTATGATTTATTATTCATATATACGTTTTCAACAAATAAAACACCCTTCTTTCAACAAGCTCCAGTTAAAGCCAAGTTACCAAAATGACGACCGTAATTATTTTATGCAATCAGGAGTTGAGCATGGTCATGTCTGTCCTCCTTACATTTGGTGTACATTGTGCATATACAGAATTGTTTGTGTAGTGTGATTTTGTATTAATATAGAAGACTGATTTATGCAGTTTTGAAAATTGAAATCAGCGATATACAGAGTTATGGCCCTTTGTATTTAAACCAAGTATTCCAGAGATTGGGGACCATGTATTGCTGGCAATACTTTGCCTTGTTGGTCATGACTGTAGTATATTACTGCATATAGTGGGAGGCTTTCAACAAATATTCCTGTGGGATCAGGTTATGTATCAGAGGTTTGTTAAAGGTTTGTATGTTGTATGAGGAAAGGCCTGGGAAGGTTTTGGATGCTTCTAAAACCTTCGTGGAGGTTTTGGATTTGTGGAGGTTTGTGATAAATTTAGGAAAGGTTTGGGAGGTTGATGCTTATGTTGGTTTGTGGAGGTCCGGGTTCATGAATATTTTTTCGGTAGTTGGTGGAGTTTCAAGGTTCTTAGATGTTCGTGGCTGAGTTGGTGCAGTGGGCGGAGGTGCAGTGAAGACACCTGTGAACATGCCGTTATAATTAGCCACACAGCTCACATTCCTCCTCCTCCTCATACCCAGACATACTCTACTTAAGCAGTCTAATTCTCTGTGTTAATTCAATCTTTTGGCCTGCTGCACTGACTGTACTTAAAAGCCTTAAGATTTTTTTTATATTTCAAACGAAATTCCCCAGGTCCCTGTCAGTACCTGGCTAAATAGCTGGTATGGACTGGATTGTATATAGATTCTGAATCTTAAGCTGTAAATCGTAAAATTTACCTGACTAAATAGCTGGTATCAAGCCCTTAAATTACTGTAACTAGAATCTCAATCTTATATTGTGAATCCTATATTTCTTTTTTTTGCAAGTTTTTCACCCTCTGGCCTCTAAAACAAATTTGTCCAGTACTGTTTTTGCCCAATTATATAAAAATAGCTACAATAATGAAATGGTCAGTCAGAGTTGTGGATATTTCTTGGCTAGGTGATTTAGTGCCAAATATTGTGAGGTTGAGGCTGTGACAATTCAAGGTAAGGGTCAAAAAATGTTCTTCTTTTGTAAGAGTGTTTCTCAATTACAAACCAATATTTGGTCAGTTTTGGATTCCCCCCTCTCGTGAAAGGGCAAAAATGGTGAAAACTAAAATAAGAGCAAAATGTCCTTCTGTGTACCTTAAGTAAAAGATTCTCCATTCCTAAATGTTCAATGGGTTTTGAAAAATGTGTATGTCCTTGATGTCTTTAAATTGTACATGATTTACAGTACATGTCTTTGTCATACTGTGCTGCCATATTTTGTCATACTCTAATTTTGATACAGTGTATGGCACTAGTAGTAGTATTTTTGTAGTACTTACACTATAGTATTTGTAAGCACATGTTACTGATAATTTGATTTAAATGGCGCATGTATTCAATTAGTAGCTAGCCACTCTATGATACACAGAGACACCTAACCCACTTACCAGCTCGACTTCCATTGAAGTCCAGCACGTTTATCTATAAAGATTAATACCAAGACTTAATTACTTATAAGAAGACTTTGTTCCCCTTCCCGTCACTGTGTTATCTCATTATGTGGGCAATAAACCGGGATTAACACAGGACAGTCAGGATTTTTTGGTGGTGTGAGTTTTCAGTCCGCAGATGTGATGCATTAGTTATGATGTATCACCCTACAATTGTATCGTTAAGTGTTTTTTATCAGTGTTTGTATTTGCCTTTCACCCATGCAAACTTTGTGCCTGCAGTCACTTCACCGGTTCATCCTTCCTGTTCCCTGAATTTCACCCCTTTACAGGATTAACAGGAATTAAGTAGTTAAGATGTTGACAATGAGATACAGGTTCCTTCCTCCTTTGTGGAGAGCTACAGGAAGCTGTATTTGTCTGTGTTTCCGAGTGATTCACACTGCTCTGAGGGATAGTTGATATCACCACACTTATCTCCAGCAGCAGAAGCTGCAAGTCTCCACAGGAACATAGCCTTATCAATAGAGGAACATCAATAGTGATATCTACCCATCATCCATATCCTGTCCCACCATCCTTCCTGTCCCTATCTCCAACAGTCTCCGCCATCCTGCAAACATTTTCTTCTTTTTCACTCAAGTGAAATACCATCTATCTAACATTTACTAAATTTTGGTATGAAAATGCATAAAAAAATCCCAACTTGTGTATCCGTTTTTGAATTGTTTAGATAAAAACCATTGATTGGTTAGCTGTTGATCAGAGTATGAGATATTCATGAACATTTACAAGAGTAAGCACAATTTTTTTTCAAAAATAATGAGATAAGAAATGTGCTGATTGGTCGAATTGTTGAATATTTACCGTGTATCCAACTGTTTGGTAGAATTTAAATTTGATTAATTTTGTATTCATTGATAGCTGAAGATCTTGAGGTGACCTCTCTGATAAATGTTTAGTTTATACAAGATGTATATAAACAGTCATCTCTTATCCATTGAGAGCACACGAAACACTACTGTCCTCCTAAAATACATTTCAGCTGTGTATGCGCGATTTAATTCCTCCTCTGTGATCAAACAGGTGTGATTTCGTTCGGGAAACTTAGGTATGAATGAGATGTCGTAAAAAGATTTTGGAGACATTTCATTCCGACAAGAACTGGGTGGTATTGAAATCATTCATCTAGCATGTTTAGTTGTATGTCTGTTATGACGGAGGTAGTGTACCTTTATGCTGCAGAGAATCGAGTGGGTTTGTTAAACCTGTAATACATTGTATATCTGATGGTACGATTGGAAAGATAAACATCATACTTCAGTAAATAGCCCAGGTTTCTGTATAGCTATCCCCAGTCACAGATATCAATTAGCTATCCCCAGATGTTAATATCAATGATGATAGGTAATCTATGTAAAGTGGTACTTAAAAGAATTTGGTGAAACTTTTCTTACAGGTATAGAGGTGAAAATATACAGGTACATATATGATTATGCAGGTGTAACTATAAACAGGCCAAAACTAAACACTAGTGTAACCAGGTGTAAATATACAGGTACATATGTATTACTCTATGCAGGTGTAACTATAAACAGGCCAAAACTAAACACAAGTGTAACCAGGTATAACTTACTTATAACTGTAAACAGGTGTAATTTACACAGGTGTAAACAGTTCTAAGTACTCAGGTGTTACTGTTAAGGTTAATTTTAAACAGGTGTAACGGTACACAAGTGTAACCAGGTGTAACTTTATGGTTACCGTATATCTTAAACAGGTGTAATCAGTTCTAACTATATATAAACAGGTGTGACAGGAATATCAACTTTGAACACCTTTGTCACTTTACACAAGTGTGTAACCTTGGTGTAACTTGATGTTTATACCTAACAAAGTGTAATTTTACAGGTGTAGCCAGGTATAAGTACACAAGGATGTGTACAGAGGTTCCAGCCACAGGTGTGATACAAGGCCAGCTACTTTGTCTACAGGTTTTGGCTCAGGTACAGGGTTGCCAGCCAACGTCCTCCTGTAGATGACAATGGCCACTTTATGTGTATCCCCTGTGGGAACACAATCATCCTTTCATGTCTCAGCTCTCCTGACAGGTCAGGTCTACCCCTTCATTCTCATTCTAATGTTAACCGATGACTGCCGAACATGGGTCTCGCGTAGTTTCCACTCCAGTGCTCCATGTTTACATAAGTCCCTTTCATTCATAAAACCTGGCTAGGCCAGCCGCTAGGTCACAGTTAATGTCTACCTCACTGTATTTACCTATACGTTTCTTATGGAGGTGTGAAATACCTGTGAAGTATTTTCATTGTGTGACGGTGGTAGGTCTCCGCCGCCAATGTGGCATAAGTCGGTCAGGCAGACTTTTTGGGAGACACCGACCCATCACTGGGCCATCTTATAACAATCTCACGATCATCTCACAAACGTTTCATGATCATCTCATGACCAACAAACAAACAACACAATATCAAAGGTTTATGATGTAGAAATCAAAGTATTGCAGATAAGTTTTGAATTTTTCATGATTTATAAAGAAGTTCCCACATAAAAGAAATATCATGTCCTTATGTGACGATATGTAGGAGCAAGTTTGAATGTAGGGAAATGGGCCACAAAAGGTGTAAGCTGATCCATAACCATCAGACATGCAGACACGTATCTTGACACTGGGTATGAAATATTATTAAGTAGTGTCTACGACACAGTGATTTCTGTATGACATTCACAGCATTAGCTTCCGCTAATAAAACAGGAGAGTTTAGTACCCTACATACTTCTATCTGTGCTTCAGCACTCCGTATTATATGTCACTGCAAATTGAAATCTTTTATTCCCTTGAAAGAAAGTACCTGGTATAAAAGGGCTGGGCAATCAAATATTCTCTTTATAATATTTTCCTACAAGTTATAAATAAATTATTCTTTTGAAAGAAATATGCAAGAATTAGGTAACTAATTATGTTAATTGCTCTATGTTAAGTATTTTTCCTTTAATTGAATTCTTTTAAATCCAATGAAAGAAAACATGCAAGCATTTGATAGATTGAAAATTATCTATAAAAAGCTGTTTTCAACTGTCAACACCCAAAGTGAGTGACAGGTATGATTTTAGTATTAACTGTTAGTTGTGATCTTGGTTTTGGTATTTATGATATTATTTTCTTACAGGTGATCCAATTTACAAAAGAAATCTCCATGACTCGCAAGATTCCCCCAGTAAAGAGCTGCCATCGAAGATGCTTAAACAAGATCGTCTAAAGGAACGCCAGGACCTGTCGCAGGCACTGAGCTTTAGCAGAGATCAAGTCAACAAATACAACAAAAGTCGATGTATCTCTACACAAACGTGAGTTATTTCCCTTTTATTAGGAGCCCCCTTCTGGAGCTCTCGGTCAACTGTAAACTTCTTTGTATAGTTATATTTTCATTTTTAGATTATAACATTATCTCCCTTGAATTCCCAGATATTTCATTTAGTCCTTTTGATTTGTTGATCAAATTCTTTATTTGGTTTTAATGGCTGATATTTGCCAATTTATTCTTCATTACAAGGAGAAAATTATTCCAAATGCTTTTTTTTTTTTTTTATTAAATTAATTCAAATACATTTGCATTTTTGCATGTATTCTTGTTAATTTGATGGTGAAATGTAGTGCAGAGGGAAGTACGGAGGAGCTCAAACGGTGCAGTTGGGAGGTAGGAAGTCCAACCTGAATAGTATTGGGGAGTATTGAGAGCTAGGGCCAGGTATTTGTAGAGGGAATGGTTTGAAACTCAGCTGAAACGTTCTGAAGGGGTGTGTATTGTCCTTGGTATGGGGGTTTTGTGTAGAGCCTCAAGGTGGGAAGTCCCAGGTCTACGTACGTGTGTAGTAAGAGAAGGTAGGGAGGCCCAGCTGTGTGTAGTAGGGGAAAATGGAGACAAGTGCTAGGAATACCTTGTATTCCTGGAATGCTGACGGGCCTTTGTTCTCCCAGACGTTTCCCATTGACAACCCTTGAGACTGTACCCAGCACATGGTGACAGTTGTGGCACTGGCCCAGTGATCAGGTGATTCCTGGGTGTATCATAATTGTTACTGTTTGGATAGACCAAGGCTGTGGCAGTGTTCAGAGGGGAATGCCAGGGGATAGGGACAAATGTGTCATTACTCTGAGGGGACCCTAGGGGGAGAGAGGGGCAGAGCGGGGCAGAGCGGGGCAGAGCAAGAAATAGTGATTCAGTACTGTGAGGGGGACCCCAGGGGAGAGGGGCATAGAAAGAATTAGTGATTCAGTACTGTGAGGGGGACCCCAGGGGAGAGGGGCATAGAAAGAATTAGTGATTCAGTACTGTGAGGGGGACCCCAGGGGAGAGGGGCATAGAAAGAATTAGTGATTCAGTACTGTGAGGGGGACCCCAGGGGAGAGGGGCATAGAAAGAATTAGTGATTCAGTACTGTGAGGGGGACCCCAGGGGAGAGGGGCATAGAAAGAATTAGTGATTCAGTACTGTGAGGGGGACCCCAGGGGAGAGGGGCATAGAAAGAATTAGTGATTCAGTACTGTGAGGGGGACCCCAGGGGAGAGGGGCATAGAAAGAATTAGTGATTCAGTACTGTGAGGGGGACCCCAGGGGAGAGGGGCATAGAAAGAATTAGTGATTCAGTACTGTGAGGGGACCCCAGGGGAGAGGGGCAGAGCAAGAAATAATGATTCAGTACTCTGAGGGGGATCCACCAGGCAAAAGGGGCAAAGCGACAATTGGTTTAAATGGCGATAGTCCAAGAAGAATGTCAAGGGCAGGGGCAGACCAACAATTGGTATAGCAGTACTCTAAAGGGGGTGCCACATGAGATGGGCCAATGCCAAGGGAAAGTAGCAGACTGATAGCTTGGCCATTTAGTAACTTAACTAAGTAATGCCATCATTTTCAAATATTGCCTGGAATTTAACATTTATTAATAATGATTTAATATTTTCCTAATACACCTTAGATGTTTTGGTCGGTAAGCTTGAATGATGTTTAATGAAGGTTTGAAGGAAAATTGATTTGTGGATGGTTGTGATCATGAGCCTCAGGGAAGGGTACATGGCCATGAATCTGGGTTGGGGTAATGTTGTATGTGGCCATGAGCCTTGGGGTGGGGTAATATTGTACATGGTCATGGGGGTTGGGTAAAATTTATACATGATCATGAACTTTTGGTGGAGGCAAAATTGTGTGACCCAAGGGATGAAGAGAGTGTTGATCTTTCAATCTGTGCAAGTCTGTAGAGAAGGAAGGGGGTTACTTCATCAAACACAGGTTTTGTGTTCAAACATGAATGTCTGCAGGGCTACAGGTATGACTCATATATTGTGCAGTGGTAGAGATATACCTACACGGTCTACCTCAATGCTATAAAAACAAGCCAATATTATGTTGTAAAATGCTTTCAGCATATTGTCCCACACAGCCAAACCATCTCAAGAATGAGGATAGTGCTACAGAGAAAATTACCTTTCACTCCTGGAAATGGTATTGCGTATGAAAGATCGGATAAGAGTATAAGGGGATTTTATCACTGCCATGGTAGTTTCTGAAGTTAAACTTAAGTAACACATTTCTAAATCCTGTTATTTTTTTTTTAACAAGTTGTTATGAACTTATCAAATTTATTATTTCCTTTTGATAAAAATTATCCTGACAGCTGCCTGTTTTGCATATGATTATGATAATATTCGTGGTGATTAAAATGCAAGGAGACTAGTAACACCTGTGTTAAACTTAAAGGCAGAAGTTTTGGTCAATATCTCGGCTCTGTCACCACCTGTACGGATATGTGGACCTGACATTAAATCGGGTTTGAGGTGTCCAAACATAGTCTCTTTATAGATATAGTCTGTTATTAGAGTATCAAAGCTACACTGTACTACTGGGAAATGATGACGTCACTATAGTGAACTACTGGGAAATGATGACGTTACTATAGTGAATTACTACAATGTTCAGCAAGCGCTTGTAAACATTTACATGTTCAGATTTTGTTCCACTTATTCCTGATTTGTGCCTATTTACTAAAAATAGTCTCTAGAAGTGATGAGATTGGGATTGGCTTCTGTTTAAGTTCGTATAATGTTCGAATTTAAACTATATGTTGCATTCATTTGTAACCTTGTAACTAAAAATGAGCAATTACTTTGATAGATTATAATAAAGGGAATTATGGGAATTTTCAAATGGTGGTCTCTTTAAAAGAGTGGATTGCTTAATTAATAGAGGTGGCTTCTCAAGAGACTGAATCACTGAAATGAAATTGCGTAACTTGTTTTGGAATAATTTCATTGTCTTCCTGTTTACTCTTACCACACCTGTCATTGTCTATATTGCAACATGGACCTACATCTTGTGTGTCTTATATAAAACATCTTGTGTCTTCATTTCACTGTATGATAATTAGTTAGACAGCCTGCCCCTGACGTATGACGATTTGTCAGGTGTACCTGTGACATACATCACTTGTGTGTTTATATAACTGCGGTACTGTAAGGGGGTTGTCTCGAGCCAGCAGACTCATCATTTAACCTTATTCCTCAGGTAGACTCTGGCACCATAAACACCGTCCATCAGTTCATCATCACAGAACTTGGTCAATTAATTTCTTTTATTTAATTAGTTTCTTGACATTTGTCATACTGAAATATTGCTTTTAACTATTTAAATTATATAATTTTTTTCGTTGTTCTTTTATGTGTGACATCCGGATGTAAATGCCATTAATCTTGTTTAATGTTCAAGTGATCAAGAACGATCTTACTAGACCAGATTAAGCTAGGTCAAGTATATTAAAGAAATAAAATGTGAAAACATTGATCAGAAAGCACCAAGATACCCTGACGAACAGACCTAGAAAGGTTTTGTCCTGTCGGTGACGAGGTCACAGCCATTATTCATTATCCTCTATGATAAAGTATTATGATCAAAGAAAGAGGTTGTTTTTTAACCACAAATGAAAATTCATTGCCTCCAGACAGGACCTTAGTGGGCTTTAGACTGGGGACATGACATTTAAAACTGTAATGACCAGTAGTGGTGTGATCAGAAAGCGAAATCTGTTTATGGAGTGTAACGGAAGCTTGACCAAGGTTGACTGTCTACTGATCCTATCTCATTGTCCTCCAATCTTAATCATTCATAATAAACATGCTTTGGCCTAGAGAACATTATGCCTTAAATTGATTTAAATAATATATAGCCTAGGTAATTGTCTACATTTAAGGGAAGGTGTAGTTACCAGTATGACGTTATAATGATAATGTTTTGTAAGATGTTTTAATTAAATTTATTTGTGGGTAGATCCTACTTGTGTGTGTGTGTGNGGGGGGGGGGGGGGGGGGGGGGGAAGAATCAGACTTGATTTTTTTTTGTGGTGATTTGTGGGTGGGAAGTTGATTTTGTATTCTGTTGACGGGAGTTGTAATACTACTTGTGGGAAATTAAATTGCAAGTACTGCTAACTTTTCATATCTTTTAAGAGGGGAAAATTGTTTGGCAAAATCAAAGTATGATTTAAAAAGCGCTTAAATTACCCCAATTTTACGAAATAAAAGTATAAAATAGCTTAGTTTAAGATGTCAATAATAAAGAACTAATAGAATTGATTTATTATGTGAAAAATAAAGGTGGAAAAAACGAGAAAGTCTTTTCCCAAAATAGGGAAATGGCGAGTTTGTGTGGAAAGGAAATTACATTTGTTTGGAAAGGCTTTTTTGTTTGTGAAGTGTTTATATAAGAAAAACTGTTAGAAGGACATTGTTTCATACATGTTACATGGGAAGTTGTAATTACATGTGTTTGTGGGGAGTTGTAATTACATGTGTTTGTGGGGAGTTGTAATTACATGTGTTTGTGGGGAGTTGTAATTACATGTTTGTGGGGAGTTGTGATTACATGTTTGTGGGGAGTTGTAATTACATGTTTGTGGAGAGTTGTTTTTACATGTTTGTGGGGAGTTGTAATTACATGTTTGTGGGGAGTTGTAACTACATGTTTGTGGAGAGTTGTTATTACATGTTTGTGGGGAGTTGTAATTACATGTTTGTGGGGAGTTGTTATTACATGTTTGTGGGGAGTTGTAATTGCATGTGTTTGTGGGGAGTTGTAATTACCTGAGTGTATGGGAAATGGTATTTGTAGGTATATGTAGAAAATTGTAATTACTGGGTACATTTCTTTTTGGAGAGGTTAATCATTGATAATAAAGCTTGTGCTTTGTGGGGAAGCAAAATTACGCTGGTTGGTTTGGGAGGTGGCATAATATCAACACTATCTGATACTGGTTCCAGGGAAATATCGCTTTCTGTGGTTGACAGATCACTCACATTTTCATGAATGAGTTTTAGACGTCACGCGGCAAAAAAATAATTCATTTACATGAAAGTTTTTTGGAAAATTCACAGGTGTGGGGACGTTACCTGCGAATACACCTTCAGGACAAAAAACATGTTTTTTTTTGTGTTGTAACTTTGGATATCCCTGAAGAGGGACATTTGAGCCGTTGAAGTTCCTGGGACGATTGCCAGTGTAGTGTTGTTGTAAGAAGATAAGCCACAGGGAAGACAAACTCCTGTAATGTTAGGGAAACAAGTGGGCGGCCCTGCTAACATTGAAACCCATTCAACTAAAACATAAATTTACCTTCATGAGTCATGCCTAGCTAAAGTCTGTTCCATATTACCTGCGGTTTCCCTCACGTTCCTGTAGTAAAGTGGTAATCAAAGACTGCATCGCATTTCTGTACGCCAGGGCTGTATACACCTACATGGTAGTGGTAGGCTTTGATGGAAGTAATCCGCTCTGACACATGACATGGATGTGTTGAGCTGCAGATTGCAGCAGGGCAGTGGTTGTCTGCAAACAGTGATACCCTCGTTAATCTGACTCCTTTACACTATAGTCAGATTTACCTAATAAAGTGACACACAGCGAGTTGTCTGTAGTCTAATTTGAATTATTATAACTTTTAGACAATAAGGGAGTCACAGTAGCAAAGCAAAGGAATCTTTCACATCATGAAATAAAAACACTGGCACAGAAACCTCTATAATATGCCATCATAATACTGACACAGAAACCTCTACAACCTGACATAATAATACTGACCCAGAAACCTCTACAACCTGACATAATAATACTGACACAGCAACCTCTACAACCTGACATAATAATACTGACCCAGAAACCTCTACAACCTGACATAATAATACTGACGCATGAGCCTCTATAATCTGACATAATAATACTGACACAGAAACCTCTACAACTTGACATAATAATACTGACACAGAAACCTCTATAATATGCCATCATAATACTGACACAGAAACCTCTACAACCTGACATAATAATACTGACCCAGAAACCTCTACAACCTGACATAATAATACTGACACATGAACCTCTATAATCTGACATAATAATACTGACACAGAAACCTCTACAACTTGACATTATAATACTGACACAGAAACCTCTATATTATGCCATCATAATACTGACACAGAAACCTCTACAACCTGACATAATAATACTGAAACAGAAAACCCCCATAATCTGACATAAAGATATCTAATGCATACATGCCCACAATCTGACATTAAACTCCAAAATCTGACCTATGGTTGATTTTGATGTTTAGATTGCTGTGATCTCTTTCCCTCCTTCCCCCACCTCTTAAAATTAATCCAAACTTAAACTGTAAGTTTAAGAGGAAAAAAAATCAAGTTTTCCTTTCTAAATAACTGATAAAATGTTTTAACTAGTTGATGTTCAGATCTAGAACCAATAACTAATAATATTTTCTCTCTCACTAGGATTTTATGTTTTTAAACTTTAAAACTGATTTACCTGTGTACCTACAGACAATCGATGTGATGACTGTATAACTCATTATGCCTGCTCAGGTGTAAAAGAAGATTGCCGTATGGCATCTGCTTTTTTAGTCCTACTTGTATGTACTTTAAGCTTTGTTTATGGAGATTCTATGTGTAATGGCTGCTGAATCTACCCCATGCTGAGCTCCTTCAGATGGGCTGGACATGAACGGTTTATGACTTATAAATGTAAATAATTCATACTTCATTTCTAGCCAAACTGAAGTACCGCAATATATTTCAGTGTATGTTCTGGTCTTAAGATTGTTCAGTCAGGATGTCGTTAGCATACTTGGTGCACACTTTGGCTCGCAACCTGCGTCGTTGTCACTCGTCATGTGTTTTATGAGGACCCATGTCATTTTCCTATAACGTCACACTATAACAATTAAGGAAATACAATGTTTTTATGGTTGCATATTTGAATAGAAATAAGTACATTTTGATATAACTTGATATTTAATGTCAGACTTCTATTTAATGTCAGACTTCTAATGTGTTTTCTCAATGAATGTGTGGTAATGAAATATGATAGCGGTAGGGTAAGAGGTATATGCAAACACATCACTCTGTCTGCCAGTGTTAGCGTAAGACAGATGTCAAGGAAGATATTAAACTTACATGCTCAATTGAACAGCATTATATTGAATGAGGGAGGTGTAGTGGTTTTATAGAATCAGAGGCATAGTGTGCAGTGTCCTCATTTCCCTAGAAGAAACCTTATGTCATCCCCCCCCCCCGGCTATCATGAGTCCTTTCTCACACTTCCTCCACACATTGTTGTGCCCTAACCCTACTTAACTACATCCCTTCCCCCTCTGCAATACTTTATTAATATATCCTTGGTCAACCCAGTGTCTTCCCCAACCCATGCACCGTGCTGTGTATGATGTATAGTTTGACAACCTTTTACATTTCCTAGACACTATATGCTGCAGTACTCTTTCATTTTTTTTTTTTTTTTTCAAGTCTTCAGAAAAATGAAATTGTTATTTTGAAATGTTAGATTAAAAATAGTAAACATTTGCTCATTTCAGACAAAGCACCCATGTGTCGGAGCGAGATTTACCGCCGGTCTACATGAACGGTGAAATGCGGCATGCAGTGTCATCGGTTGACAGTTACAGACATGTGATGAGGTCACAGCCAGGGGTGCCTGTCCATGAGCGTGGTTCACCCCCTCCCTACCGCATTCCCACAGAGACATTGGACGCTCCACTCAACCTTTCACTGACCAGTTCCTCTTCATCAGCATTTACTCCTCAAGTGTCTCGGCCTTCTGTCATCACATGTGCCTCCACGGTGGACAAAAGTCATCGCTATGGCAACAGCTCACCATCACAACACTCACTACCCAGTCCAAGTAGGAGGGAGGTTGTCTCAGGTAAGCAGACCAACCTTTGTAAAACTCGAAGAAACCATTTGTTTAAAACGAACCTGATACTTCCTCCATTCTCACTGGACATGCCTGGTCCCTGGAAAAAATCTAATAATAATTGCATTTGACAAAAAATACTCAATCTTCAATATTTAGAACATTTAAAAATATGTTAAGTTTTCATAGCATGACCAAACAAAAGGAGAAAAATGAGCTATACAATTTAAGTGAATTATTCCTTCAGTAATGTCAACGAGTGAGTGAATGAGAGAGAGACAAAGTTATATAGAAAATAGCGTGGCGGTGGAGGTGTTTGGATGACTCTTAAAAGATATTCAAGGTTGATGTATAGGTGAAGTTTGCCATTATCTGTGGATGACCCTAAATGGCTGTACAAATTATATCAGGGTTTGTGGGTGGATCTGACCCTGATTTGGGATGTTATCTGATAGAACAGCGTTGGTAAATCTTTGATCAGCACACCCCGCCCCAGCCCACCCTGACACCTCTGAGGTCCCTTACTGTACGTTGATACTGTACAGGGTGTGTTACATCCTCGGACGTAAAACCATTACCGAACACCCTGTGTGTCAGTGTCGTGTCTAATACCTGATAGCAAGAGCGTCCAGGTAGGTATATCATCATTGAGGACAGAGCTATCATAGCCCAACACACACACCACCCTGTAATCTTACTGTGCTAATTTGACTTAATTAAGCAATTGGCCACTATTGTGTCGGCTAGATGTAAAGGGCGCTGTTCTGGTCAGTCCTTAGCCCTGTTTATACCAGGAATTGTCCTTAAGGTGGCCCGATTGATATCAATTGGTGTCACAATTGTACACCGCATTACTCGACTGGGAGATTATGTGTGGTGATCATCTGACATCAAAGGGATACGGCAGGCACTAGATAGGGTTGTCCGAGGGCAGTGAAGGACACCCCCCCGCCATGAACCCACCACTACCACAATCAACCTTCAGGGATACGGCAGGCACTAGATAGGGTTGTCCGAGGGCAGTGAAGGCCACCACCCCGCCATGAACCCACCACTACCACAATCAACCTTCAGGGATACGGCAGGCACTAGATAGGGTTGTCCGAGGGCAGTGAAGGACCCCACCCCGCCGTGAACCTACCACTACCACAATCAACCTTCAGGGATACGGCAGGCACTAGATAGGGTTGTCCGAGGGCAGTGAAGGCCACCACCCCGCCATGAACCCACCACTACCACAATCAACCTTCAGGGATACGGCAGGCACTAGATAGGGTTGTCCAAGGGCAGTGAAGGACACCCCCCCGCCATGAACCCACCACTACCACAATTAACCTTCAGGGATACGGCAGGCACTAGATAGGGTTGTCCGAGGGCAGTGAAGGACCCCCCCCCGCCATGAACCCCCCACCATCACCACTATCAACCTTCAGGGATACGGCAGGCACTAGATAGGGTTGTCCGAAGGCAGTGAAGAACATCAACCCTCCATGATCCCACCACTACCACTATCAACCTTCAGGGATACAGCAGGCACTAGATAGGGTTGTCCGAGGGCAATGAAGGACACCACCCTGCCATGAACCCACCGCTACCACTATCAACCTTCAGGGATACGGCAGGCACTAGATAGGGTTGTCCGAAGGCAGTGAAGAACATCACCCCTCCATGAACCCACCACTACCACTATCAACCTTCAGGGATACAGCAGGCACTAGATAGTGTTGTCCGAGGGCAGTGAAGAACACCCCCCCGCCATGAACCCACCATCACCACTATCAACCTTCAGGGATATGGCAGGCAATAGATAGGGTTGTCCGAAGGCAGTGAAGAACACCAACCCTCCATGAACCCACCGCTACCACTATCAACCTTCAGGGATACGGCAGGCACTAGATAGGGTTGTCTGAGGGCAGTGAAGAACACCACCCTGCCATGAACCCACCATCACCACTATCAACCTTCAGGGATATGGCAGGCACTAGATAGGGTTGTCCGAAGGCAGTGAAGAACACCACCCTGCCATGAACCCACCATCACCACTATCAACCTTCAGGGATATAGCAGGCACTAGATAGGGTTGTCCGAAGGCAGTGAAGAACACCAACCCTCCATGAACCCACCACCATCACCACTATCAACCTTCAGGGATATGGCAGGCACTAGATAGGGTTGTCCGAGGGCAGTGAAGAACACCAAGTTTATTACTTTATAAAAACAGACAGCATAAATATTGATTCAGTGTAGTCAAAAGTACCATAAAAACTGTTTATTGTTTTTTATTTATATTTTACAGTTAATTAGATTAAGCTGGTATTTCTTTATACAAAAATTCTAGTTAATTAATAACTGAATAAATTGTATCTTATATTGTCACTGACTATCAGTGAATTTTAAGTGTATGGTTGGCCAAAATAATTATAGTTATTGAACTTCGTCAAACGGCTACAATTTCATGTCTCCCTGGGTTTCTGCCTCATTGGCCATGCAAGTTTTTGTACCCTGCCGCCCCAGTCGTAAGCAGACCTGCCCCTGTCTCGGGTAGATATACCCTGTTAAGACATTGTGTTCCCCTGTCTACCCTTGCTCCCCCAGACCTACACCATCCCCCTGACCTGTCTATACCTTGTCTGTACACCCCTGTATGCCTTGTCTATATCAATGTCTGCCCTGTGTATTACGGCGTAGTTGAAAATTGCCAAATTTTGTATAATTACGATTTGCACTGTTTGACGTGCTTATCTGGCTACGAGATCTGGACAGAAAGAGACAGGTCTTCATTGAGGGTGGAGACAGCAATAAATGCTTCAGGCCATAGAAAGGTTGACCAGAAATCTTGTAATAAAGATAATTTCTCAATTACTATGTCCTATAAGTAGCAGTGAATGTTCCTATCTACACAATTCATCTCAATTATCTTTCCGTAGTGCTGTTTGGTCTGCCGCTATACAACTGTATGAGTTTCAAGGGAATTATATTATTGTGAACTAATAAAAAATAAACCTACTAAGATATTTCTTTATATCTGTATAAACTCCTGCGTAGGAATCAGGATTTGGTTTCTGAGTTTGGCACCTATTTACTACTTCAGATCAATTGCCTGTGGTCATAACGTTTCTCGTATTTATCTGGCTTGTTTCAAAACTGCAAACGTTTGTGCCAAATTAAAGTAGTGGTTGAGGTTTCTGGGATAATGTTATCGCCATCCTGGCTATAACTATCCTAGTGGTAGGCCTGGTAGTGTTAACAGGTGGCAAGTTTAATGTGATTAAAAGTCCCGGCTAAACATCAGTTACCAGGTAGACAATCAAATGAAAGTAATCTGCTTTTTTCACAAACTTATCTAAATGTAGATATGATACATTATTCCTGTAGAGATTCATTTTAATTGTGAAAAGTGTAAAAAGGAAAGTCTGGTTGGTGTATATTTTGTAGAATAATGCACTATGATATGCATGCGAGTGTTGTACACAAGTGTTACGCAGGATTAGAGGGAAGAATATGACTCATTCCACTGCTGGTATATATACACAGCTTAAGTCAGTTCTCAATGTACCGAGCCAAATTATCTGAAGCTAATATTGAATTTAGTTTAAACACTCAATACACAAAACAAGTACACCTAATGAATATTCATTTTCATTGGATGACATTAAAAAAGAAAACAATAAAAGGCAGATCAATAAATATACACAATAATTTGGTTATGTAATTATCCAAACTGATGCAATATACACCTACATAAACAGACTTGACCTCATTGATCCATGAATCACCATCCCTTAAGCATGTCTTGGTCAATACAACGTGCTGTAACATATTCTGTGTACTTTTTTAAGATTAAATTACTTTCGAACAATTTTGAACCGAAGGATTATTTCATTTTTATGAATTATTAAATTCACCAATAGGTTATTGTTAAATTTTGCCTTGTATATGATTTTGAAGAGATTGCAACAATCAGATTTCGCATGTGAAGCAGTGGTAGGCACTGAGGAAAATTAAATGTGGTCTCGGTTCATTGAACGACCAGGTACAACACACAAGTTTTCATTCATAAAAATCATCAAGGCTGACAAGCAGCAACAAGTTGATTTTTCAGTTATAAAAAAAACCCAGCACAACTCACTGGATCAGAAAAGTGGGTAGTTAATCTGTACACTCCAAGTGCATCTAAGAGTTAAACATTTAAAATGTATTACCCCGGTAAATTTGAAAGTGTCTTCAACACTAGATTGTGGCAATTAAAATCAATTTCCTCTAAGGGCGAAATCAGATAGCAACCAGATTTTAAATGTCGGATCACCTGTAACGATAAGGTATCAATCACGATGGATCGTTACCGGAATCTTTAACGAACCATTTACATATAATGAAAACCTGTCCATAAAAGTCAGTGTTTAAGTGCTGTGAAATATGAGTTGAATCCCTGGCTAGTTACAGGTGATACGTTACATGGGATATGTAACACCTGCTAACAACTCCATAACATCTCTACCTACCTGTAGTATACATCTATCAAGACAGCTTCAGGGGCTCATAATATTTCAAAATAACAAAAACATAACATATCTGTACTAATGGAGGGAACTCTCCACTCATTACAACTTATTACATGCAAATACATCTGACACACGTGCACCAAGCCAGATAGTTTTGTAGATATTTTTGAATGTTAGCGATGTATGACATGCTTGATCTCTAAGATGAACATTAATTGAACCTGCATAGATTGTCAATTAATGTCATTAAGACTGACATGTATGAATAATACCAAGCGCACAGGTGACTGTACAGGTTCCACACCTGGGCATGTCCTCCCTGACAAGTTACCCCCTCAGCTAATTGAAGCACATGTTTGAACTGAACGACTCCTGAATTCTCACCTTTAAAAACATTTAAACAAACGTAAAGTGGTGTTAACTGCTACAGGTAATTTGGGAGGTGCTCTCTAGTTACCCTACACAGGGCTGCTTGTCAATGAATCATAGACAAAAGGCAGCTACCTTATAAAACAGAGTAAGAAAACGTCGTACAAGTTTCTTGTGTCAGGCACATAAGTTAAGCTAAAGTCCATTTAGCTAGACTTTCACAAGTCCCTTCAATGTTGTTCCATACTTGAGGAACAGCATAATTAAAATCAGATATCGCTATCACTTCAGTTCTTTATATAGTATTAGGGAAGTGCTTGAGAAATAATGATCTTAATTAGATTGCAGCAAGGAATGCTGGTTTCATTGAACCCCGTGCTGTTTCTGTGAATTCTTTGGTGATAACTCTAGAATCTTCTCTGGATGTTCTACATATGATTAATATGATCGTGGGGTAGTTTTAATCAGAACTAGAGGCCATGTGTATTCTATTGATTCGGTGAAGTTCACAGAAAATATTTGATGATATCATGCATGCATACCTTTTTGACATGCCAATATTTACCGAAAAAAGTGTGCATTATACGCGCAAATTTACAGTACTTAATTATGAGTTGTGAGACTAACGGGAGTTGTTTGTTTACAGTCGGAGGCTGTGACCCTATTGAGGAACACTTCCGTCGCTCCCTTGGGAAACACTACCCAGACTACATGGCCCCTAAGCTGTCCCCAGTTACCCCGCCAATGGCAGACTCGCCCCCTGCTGTAGCTGCCACTGTCGCCACAGCAGCCAAATCTGCCAAATCTAACACCTCAGCAGTGTCCATCACAGGTAAGAACAACTGAGGAGATCTAAGGCCATTCTCTGAAAGTGAAATTCTAGTGTCAAATTAGAAGAAAAAAAAACGAAAAAAAAACTGCCTACCCTTTAACCTGTGTAATTTGAAAACTTGTGGCACACAACATATTGGTCAGATTAGACAAGGAGCAGGAATAAATAAGTCTCATTCGGTAATTTTTATAAGAAATTGGATCACAACATTATGTTTGCTGAGACAGAACGTCAGAATCCTGAGAGGTTTAATTAGACTGGTTTCAATGTAATTTATAAAAGAATGCCATAATTCTCTGTGTACTGCTGCCCACCAGAGAAAGCCCAGGGGAAGTACCAGGTAAATACCATATTTTGTTGCGAAATTACCAGATAGCCCACTGTGGAAGTTTGTCTGCAGGTAATAATACACTGAAAAAACTCATGAAATGAAGGGTTTTTTATGTAAGTTCCAGTGTACTGATCGCTGTTTGTTCAAATTAGTACATCAGTCAACGGAGGTGTTTATTACATTTTAAATAGGTCACAGTGACCTTCACCTCCGGGTCAAAGTACACAAATTTAAGTGAAATCTTGTCTTGGCTATAAATGTTAAACCATTTAAGATATTTTCATGAAGCTTGAATCTGTATCACCCACAGAGGATCAGAAGTACACTACATCTAACTTATGGTTTCTGTTTCTCTTCTTTTTGGATGTCATTTTACTGACAACTGCCTAAAAAAAAAATGTGAAAAATTAAATGCAGCATATTTTCTAATTTCAGGATCTGTAGACGACCACTTTGCGAAGTCACTGGGCAACAGTACCTGGTCAGCCATAAAGGCTAAGAATGACCCAAGACAGGAGATGCTCCCTGGTACAGTGGATGACCATTTTGCAAAAGCCTTGGGTGGTGATACCTGGCAGAGGATTAAGGCCGAGAAGGAGAGCAGCCCTGCACTGTGTCGACCAAATGGGTCTGCCTCACCCTCATCCTCCCCACCCCACAGGCGGGGCTCCTCACCCCTAAGACATGATCTAGTCTCAATATGAGGGGGCAGGGCTTTCAGTTCAACCCTCATCTAAAGGAAGCTGCAATGGAGCAATGCAAGCACCAGATATCATCATGACAACACATTCTGTGAATCTGAGACTTGCTCAAGGTCAGCGGCAGTGCTTGGTCAATGCTCAAGTTTGTTGTTACAGGCACCAACAATCAACACATGACTACTGCCAGAGGAAATGATGATGTGACCACAAGGACTTCAAATGTGTTGTGGTCACCATGGAAGGAATTGCGAAGTTCTCTGTGCCATGAGTTTGGTTTAACTCTCTACTGCACCAAAGAGAATTGAAGACATCACCTCAAATAGAGATGTTATCAGTGGTCATCTATCCTTTACAATACCGCTCGGACCAAAGTTATTTATTTTATGTTAGCTAATTGCTCGTTTTTAAGTCATGTTTGCATTTAGAAATAACACAATATATCTTTCCAACATGAAATGTATTGATTGTGTGTAGTGCCATGCTGATAAAGGTTTGGTGGACTTAGTAACAGAATCTTACTTCCGAATGAACGAAAAAAATAAAACTATATTAGGTAAATATAGAGATAATATTTTCAGGAGCGGTCCTACATTGTTGGAACTATTAAATCTCTGCCTTGATATCAGTTTTAAATCCTCACCAAAAACATTGGTAAACCATCCTTCCATTTCATCCATCATTTGACACCGTGTTTTTATGAATGTACATAGTGTGATCCTTGGACATATATATTTTAGTTTGAAGTATGGTTGAGATAAGGGAGGCAACTCTGTCAGTTGTGTATATGTATGTGTTGTTATTAAAGGGGAGATAACCATTGTGTACCCAAGATAAAAAAAAGATTAGTTTTCCTGTATATTTTTGCCGTAGAAGTTTATGTGAGAGAATATCCTATCAAAGGAACGGTTTTGACTCTTGATTAATATAGAAATGTAAACACACTGTGGTGTAATTCACTAACTAAAGATAAAATAATACAATATACAACTGATGTTTCTTTTTCTCATAAATAATGTGACATTACAAGCCTTGAAAAGATTTGTTTTATTTATTTTGAAAAAAGGCTTAAATCATATAAGAAGACAAACATATGTTATGCTGTGACAGCGCAAAAATTAAATGATTACTTTTGACGTTCATTTTTTGTCGCATGATATCACCCCCCACAGAAGTTCCCAATGGGGGTCATGACCCTCATTAGGAGATTAAGGGGTTGGCAGGTGTGTCAAGGTAAGGTTCATGCAGAGCTGTGCAATAACAAACTCGAAACCATGTGACTTCCATTATAAGTTGAATACATCTCTAATTGGTCAATTACAGCAACATCACTTTATTTTTCTTCAAGTTATAAAGAATCTTTTATGTGTTTCCATTATCTTGAGAATGATTTTGTTGAATGTATAGTCTCTTCTGGTTATAAATCACTTCATTTATTGTCATACTAAGAAAATAATTAGTAATGCAAAAAACAGATTATTTTCAATTTTATCCATAAAAATTGAAACCTATTGATAAATTTGTTTCAGAGATTTTTGAAATGTTGCTATAAGTTAGGTGCCACCTAATATGGAGAAATATGTAGTGTGTATATATGTGAGATGTGAGTTATGGGAGATAAGTTGTGTACCCAAGGGATATATGTGCCATACAAGGGACCGCCAGGGTAAAAGGTCACTTCACCCAACATGGGGAGTTATGGGTTCAAATCTTTATAAATCTAAGTTTACGTTTGTTTACTACACTTTTACCTTGATTGCGATATTATTTCTACACTTAAAATGGCGGCACTGCGATATTAATTTATCTCTATAGATGTAACGGCTGGACAGATTTGAAATTCCTTTAGAAATTATATGTGTTTCTGTAGGGCATATTGTAATCAGATTTACTCCATTGATTATGGAGTAAAAACATATGACCTTACTCCATTGTTATTTTCTCAAATATTTTATATTCGTTGAGTGGCTTAGATGGCAAATGATGTTTTATTGGACCAGAAGTCCAGACTGGTACTTGAGGTCAAGTTTAGAGTAAGAGTCTGAACTGAAAGTAAAATAAGACATAGATGCCTGAAAAATCATCAACTGACTTCCTTTTTCTAAATTTATGGTGAGTTTCTATTTCCTGTTGCTGAAGGTTTTGATTTTTGTTCTCGATGAACCAATGACTTATTCATAACAGGAAATGAGGCCTTACCAAACTGTTCACTTGATAATGTACGTTCTTGATGAAATTACTTTGATCCAATATGATTTATTCACTTAAAGACTGATTGATGTGTTGGAAGTTGTTAGCTATTTCTGTGTAACATCTGCATATATCTGTGGGATTAAGCGTCGTTATCTGCGAATTCTGGATGCACCCTGCTACTATTCGATAATGTATGTTCAATGTTCCGGGTACCAGTTTGTAGGTGGCTTTGTGTACATAGGTGTAGAGTAGATGTATGTGTGACGTCTGTATATGTGGAAGTATTTAAATGGCTGTAACAGAGAGTGCAGGAAGGGTAACATGATTATGTACAGAATACTTTGTCTCCCAAACATGTATGCGTCAAGCACACCATCCAGGACAGTCAATAACTCCATCCCAGACTAAACCCCGGAATCTACCCTGCCTACGACTCTACTTATAATGTAAATATGGGTACTGTTTTCTGCAAATCTTCTATAACTTTTACTGTTTGTACCAGGTATAAGTACAAACATGTTAATCTGTAAATAACAACCAGGTATGATGTCACAGATAAGGGAGGTAACCAACACTACTCTAAGTTGACGGGTAAAAGACAGTAAATGGGTACGAGTGTATAAATCTCCACTGAAGGGTCTGATGTTGTACTTACGTATTTGTATATACAAGCAATGGGTATGAATGGTGCGATACTGTACTTTCCTTATGTCAAGCTGCAACTACTTGGCGGTAAAAGAGATGTATCGCAAACCATGCTGTTCACAAGAAACCCGAGTATGAAATGTGTTTTTGCCTGAACTGTGGCGACTAGATGTTTTGTACATTGTACCCTGAACTGTGGGTGTGTGCTTGATGTCGTCTGTACCTAAAGTTGTGAGTACACTATCCTGTACGTTGTTTGTATCCTAAGCTATGGATACTTCATGTGTTGTACATTGTACCATAATTTATGGGTACATTGTGTGTTGTACACTGTTTGTATCCTAAGCTATGGGTACATTGTGTGTTGTACACTGTTTGTATCCTAAGCTATGGGTACATTGTGTGTTGTACACTGTTTGTATCCTAAGCTATGGGTACATTGTGTGTTGTACACTGTTTGTATCCTAAGCTATGGGTACATTGTGTGTTGTACACTGTTTGTATCCTAAGCTATGGGTACATTGTGTGTTGTACACTGTTTGTATCCTAAGCTATGGGTACATTGTGTGTTGTACACTGTTTGTATCCTAAGCTATGGGTACATTGTGTGTTGTACACTGTTTGTATCCTAAGCTATGGGTACATTGTGTGTTGTACATTGTATCCTAAGCTATGGGTACATGGTGTGTTGTACATTGTGTGTATCCTAAGCTATGGGTACATGGTGTGTTGTACATTATTTGTATCCTAAGCTGTAGGTACATACTGTGTTGTACATTGTTTGTATCCTAAGCTGTAGTATAGGTACATACTGTGTTGTACATTGTTTGTATCCTAAGCTATGGGTACATGGTAGGTTGTACATTGTTTGTATCCTAAGCTATGGGTACATAGTGTGTTGTACATTGTTTGTTTCCTAAGCAATATGTACATGGTATGTTGTACATTGTTTGTATCCTAAGCTGTAGGTACATGATATGTTGTACATTGTAAGTATCCTAAGCTGTAGTATAGGTACATGGTATGTTGTACATTGTTTGTATCTTAAGCTGTAGGTACATGGTATGTTGTACATTGTTTGTATCCTAAGCTGTAGGTACATAGTGTGTTGTATATTGTTTGTAACCTTAGCAATAAGTACATGGTATGTTGTACATTGCTTGTATCCTAAGCTGTAGTATAGGTACATGGTATGCTGTACATTGTTTGTATCCTAAGCTGTAGGTACATGATATGTTGTACATTGTAAGTATCCTAAGCTATGGGTACATGGTGTGTTGTACATTGTTTGTATCCTAAGCTATGGGTACATTGTGTGTTGTACATTGTTTGTTTCCTAAGCAATATGTACATGGTATGTTGTACATTGTTTGTATCCTAAGCTGTGGGTACATAGTGTGTTGTACATTGTTTGTATCCTAAGCTGTAGGTACATGATATGTTGTACATTGTTAGTATCCTAAGCTATGGGTACATAGTGTGTTGTACATTGTTTGTATCCTAAGCTATGGGTTCATTGTGTGTTGTACATTGTTTGTTTCCTAAGCAATATGTACATGGTATGTAGTACATTGTTTGTATCCTAAGCTGTGGGTACATAGTGTGTTGTACATTGTTTGTATCCTAAGCTGTGGGTACATAGTATGTTGTACATTGTTTGTATCCTAAGCTGTGGGTACATAGTGTGTTGTACATTATTTGTATTCTCAGCTATGGGTACATGGTGTGTCGTACATTGTTTGTATCCTAAGCTATAGGTACATGGTATGTTGTATATTTACCCATGTGGGTATGAGTAAAATATTGGGTATGAAATACGAGTATGACTGATAAATGTTTATTTGTAATGACTGTCGGTAAATTTTAAGTTCATGGCTTTATTGATGGTACATATTATTGTTATGTATAAATTTGTTATTATGTTTTAAAAATAAATTTTAGAAATTTTAAAATGAATTGACAGTATTTTGTTTTACATGCAAGTACATTTTGGATACATGTAAAGGAAACCAATGAATTTCCATATTGCAATTTCACAAATTGAAAACCTTAGGTACTTTTAGAAGGCTTAACTTGGGTCTGACCAAATTTCAAGATCACTGCTTTCTAGAATAGATACAAACTATTTTGCTTTGATTTTAAAGTTACTTGGTATCTCAAAATAATAGGCCATTGGTGAAGTTCATTGCTGACCTATGAAGTAATAAGTGATGAGTATATAACTAAACTGGGCTGTTCAAAAGCTGATTAGCAGAAATGTAATTTTTGTGTATCTTTAAAACACAACCATTAAATGACTTATAGCAAACATTTAAAAAGAGTAAAATCACATGCAAAATTACAAATGTTTACCTCGTATATTGACAAAATTATCAAAGGTTAAAAAATGTTGTCAAATAGTCATTAAATCGATCACCTTTTGAACAACTGGGCCCTGATGTCTATAGTAATTAACAGTCCATCAATGAAGGCACAACTGTCTCCATATCTATAGTAATAAGTCACAAATGGAAGGTCATTCCTGTGCTAATGAAAAACATGTAACTGGCCTTGACGAAAGAGCTAACTTTTGTCTTGATACCCAATAATGTGCCACCAAATAATTTCAATTGTTCTAATATCAAGTAACCATGCATAATTATGTACAACAGCATCACTGATGTCAAAGGGAGATAATCCATTCTTCAATAAAAAACAAACTTTTTTTTTTAATTTTAAATTTTATTTCAAAATACAATAGAATATTCTGTAGCATTGCACATATCAAATTACATCAATGATATCCAATATAAACATAAATAACAACTTTATATCTATCCAAATGTATAACAACCATGTATGTCAATACATAATAATACACTGGATTACATATATGTATCGAAAGTCAAAATAACCAATGCACTTCTATGAACTGACCTCATATAAACATCATTCATTCAGCCTGTTTGAAGGCTAAACCTATTAAAAGGAAGTAGACTTCCTTCTTGAGTATAAGCTCATAAAAGCAAGTCTCCAAACAGAGCTTCAGTCATTGTTACAATACCTACAGATAGTGTCCTAGCTCAGTGGCCTGTGTATACATTATAACTGACAAAGCTTACATCCCATACCAGTGAACTCATTCTTGTTGCAGCTTCATTCCTAACTTCTTTTTGCAATAAACAAATATTATATTGGAACATGCAAATTTTACCCTTAAAACATGTTTGTTTGTGACTGCATCACTAATCTAAAAGTTTAATTGGAGTTAACACAGACCTTGGTAAACATTTGAATGTGTTAACAATATTGTATATTTCTTTTGAGAAGCCTTCCATTAAACTAAAAAAAAATTTAACATGATGACGTCTCCTGAATCCAGTAGTGCATAATTGTAAAATTGACCAAAAAGTGAAGTTATAGAAGATAGAAATTACAACCCGAATGAAATCTTTTCAAGAGCAAGGGAATGTAGCTGTAGTTGTCAGTAAGGGTATATACAAAGGCCAGTAATGTACTCTTTCACACTCAAACACATGCAGGCACCATTCACTGTCACAGATTAATTATAGAGTTTAAAATCAATGGGTTCAAAAACGCTTAGAAATATAAGGAATGTTGAATATGTTTCAGGCAACACTCAAAAGTTTCTGGTCCAACATCTTGTCAAGTAGCAGATAAACCAGTGAATTATTCCACCATCCCTGAGAAACGTGGCCACTTTTGCTAACAGTGTAGCACTGCTCTGTTCTCTAGTGTTGACATTCACAGTTGTAAATACACATTCTACCTCTTTCAACACTGCCCTATACAATACCATACACTATACTTTACGTCCATTCAGTGTTCATTTCACCATTATGTTGCACCATATCAACTCCTGCCACGTTGAATTCCATGCTTTGATCCACTTACTGTGAAAATCACCAAAATAAATACAGCCAGGGCAATAACCAGTACAGGGGATTCCGATCACCTTCATCTCAAGCAATATAACAGGGTTGTGAGATGGCCGATTTATATAGAAAAGAGGACCAATCTGTCCCTTCTTAAACCTTTTGTTTATTTATGGCAACCAAGCACCTAGTTCCTTAGAGATTTGATTTGGTATTCTCATTTTCACTCTCGCTTAAAATCTTCAGATACCTGTATGATGGTTAAGGCATTTAGCACTTTCCTTCATTCAGACCTGAAAGATTACAGCTGGTTTGACACAAAGGGTGATGTCTAGTTGTTGTGGGTAACAGTCTTTTGAAGGCCCTAACAGGAAAATGTCTGGATAATCCACATCTGCAATGCAGGATCAAGGTTTGAGCAATTAAAGATGTGTTCATGCTTGTATCATTCTCCTTTGAGTGGTTCGGACGACTTGTGATATAACAAATGCTCCTTCACAAAGCTGATCAGGTCAGCCTCTGTTAAAAGTATAACACCTATCACAGAGAGGAAGCACACACCACCAATCCCCACATGTAGCAGTCTGTACAGGATCCCCGCATCACAGCAAATGGTAGTCTGTAAATCATAAACACCATTGTTATGTACCTGTCTATATAACTAAGTCAGCATATTACAGTCTGCAAATCATCAATATCATCATATCATGTACTGGTCTAGATGCACAAATAGTCCATAAGTCATCAGCACTTTTTTAAAGTCCTTTTAAAAAGGTGTATTCCATGAAAATCACAGGCTGCAGGGAGCTTTGCAGTCGGTGTAACTTGACCCATCCAAAAATAGACTATCCTTTTATTCCAAGAAAATTACAAAAATTTGCTAAAAAACAGAAAGGTACTAAAGATTTTTATAATGTGCTTAGTAAAAATGATATAATTGCAAGTGTAACAAAAAAATGGAATGAACAATTTGAATTTGATGAAGGTGATTGGAAAATGATTTTTAAACTCCCTTTTTCTGTAACAAAAAATACAAAATTGCAATGGTTTCAATTTAGGGTTAATCGCCATATTCTAACAACAAATTCGTATTTATTTAAAGTTGGGTTAGTAGACAGCCCTTATTGTAACATTTGTAAAACAGAAATTGAACCCATAGAGCATACGCTATGGAACTGTGAAAAAGTTCAAATTTTACTTGTTAACTTAGAAAATTTGTTGAATTCACTGTTCATTCCATTTGAATTTAATAAGAAATCTTTTCTTTTTGGTACATATCGTCAGAATGGAATAAACAGAAAAGTGGATAATATGATCATCTTTACAATAAAACAATATATCTACAAAGCAAGGTGCCTCAGGAACGAACTCTGCATTATTGCCCTGAAAAATACACTAAAAGATACATATACAACTCAAAAATACATTGCTAGAAGTAAGGGAGAAAGCTACTTAGACCAGTTTCAAAGAGAATGGGCCAAATGGCAAAACTTTTTTTGAAACACCCAAACTTGAAATTACGACTGATTTACCATAAGTAACTTATCAATTTATAAATATATTTGTTGTATTGAGTAAATGTAAATATTGATTACGCTCACACTGACAGCTAGCTTAGAAATTCAAAATGTAATACAAATTTTCAACAATCCTACCTTTCCTTTTTGATAATTGTATGGATGTTTGTATGATAATGAATGAGTGTGTGTATGTCTTTATATATGTTTGTGTTATGTCATGTTATGTATATATATTGTAACTGCATTGTATACTAATGTAAAAAATTGAAAAAATAAAAAATATAAAAAAAAAAAAAAAATCACAGGCTGCAATGCATTTTAAAAAATGTACAGTAATTAGAAATTTGATTGTTTGAAAATAGAAACAAAGAAAAAAAAATCAAGAAATATAGCAAGGCTTGAACTCAGAACCTTTACATTTCGAAGCCTAAACTTTATCAATTTTGCCATTCAGAATCACAGCATCCAGTTTATGGGCCAAAAGGTCTGAATAACTTCAAAGTGGAACTTACTTGTTTCATCTTCAATAGATAAGGGAGATAATCCAAGTAAAAATGTCTTGAGTGGAACTCTTCTTTGCCATTATAACTGATGCAGTAGTACCTTTTACCTTCTTCATAAATACCATCATTATGTACAAAACATTGATTTCACTGTGATGACCATTGACACTGACCAGTAGGGGTAGAGATATAGACCCTGTAGTGGACATATTAATACATACCTCTGAAGTCGCTGTGATGACCATTGACACTGACCAGTAGGGGTAGAGATATAGACCCTGTAGTGGAGGCATTGATACATACCTCTGCAGTCACTGTGATGACCAATGACACTGACCAGTAGGGGAGAGATCTAGACCCTGTATGGGAGGCATTGATACATACCTCTAATGTCACTGTGATGACCAGTGACATTAATCAGTAGGGGAGAGACCCTGTAGACGATGTTTTGATACATACCTCAGATATCACTGTGATGACCAGTGACACTGACCAGTAGGTGGTAGAGATTTAGACCCTGTAGTGGAGGCATTGATACATACCTCTGAAGTCACTGTGATGACCAATGTCACTGACCAGTAGGGGTAGAGGTCTAGACCCTGTAGTGGAGGCATTGATACATACCTCTGATATCACTGTGATGACCAGTGACTCTGACCAGTAGGGGGAGAGATATAGACCCTGTAGTGGACATATTGATACATACCTCTGATGTCACTGTGATGACCAGTGACACTGACCAGTAGGGGGAGAGACCCTGTAGACGATGTTTTGATACATAACTCTGATATCACTGTGATGACCAGTGACACTGACCAGTAGGGGGAGAGATATAGACCCTGTAGTGGAGGCGTTGATACATACCTCTGTCACTGTACATATGATGACCAGTGACACTGACCAGTAGGTGGTAGTGATTTAGACCCTGTAGTGGAGGCATTGATACATACCTCTAATGTCACTGTGATGACCAGTGACACTGACCAGTAGGGGGTAGAGATCTAGACCCTGTAGTGGAGGCATTGATACATACCTCTAATGTCACTGTGATGACCAGTGACACTGACCAGTAGGGGGAGAGATATAGACCCTGTAGTGCAGGCATTGATAAATACCTCTGATGTCACTGTGATGACCAGTGACACTGACCAGCAGGGGAAGAGACCCTGTAGACGATGTTTTGATACATACCTCTGATATCACTGTGATGACCAAAGACACTGCCAGACTGAGCAGTAGGGACTTAGACGGAATAAGACCCAGTAGTGGACGGTATGTAGTTCTTTCAAAATACTTGTGGATGAAATAAACACTGCAAGAAAATAAAAATAAAATATATTTATCAGTTAAGGAGTGTATTTTATAAAGTTTGTGTTGACCAAACGTGTGTGGTTTAAATAGGTTCATGAAAAGTAATGGTTCAGATAGGGAACCAATACTTTGAAAAAGGTTTTCTTCTGTCAGCCTTAATTTCTAGATGGGGAGTATCTTAAATACTGTATAGTCTATTTATTCTGCATTTGTTCATGCATTGTCAATAAAATTAACAGCAGTTTAAGTATTTTATTCAATAATCAGGCAAGATTGTTATATAGATGTAATTTCAGAAGGATTGGAAAACAAGCTTAGAGCTTATATATAACTAAAGTTGTAGTCCAGATAATCCTATATACATAGGTTAATTTAGTATTGTGTTTTGCTTTAAATGGGCATATGAAATTTACCTGTGGGCTATCCTTATACACATGTTGACACAGTTAGCCAGGATGAAACCCACACTCTCAAACTGATGAGTAAACAGCAGTGAAGCACCCAGGAAACCTATTGAGAACAGCACCATCTTTTGATTGTATCTACAATTGAGAAACAGGATGAATGTCTTTCCTAGCAATCCTTTAATATTCAAATTTGTGCCTGATGTAATAGGGTCTATACAAATGCAGGTACCAGAAAAATTATTTTCTAAGTTTTACAGCCAAATACAGGCTGTTTCCCTGTGGCAAAAAATACTTTATTCTCCCAAAATGAAGAAAAAATAAGGAATATCTTCCCAATGTTAATAAAAATAATGCTATATTTTTCGAATTTATGTAGGAACGGGCTGTTGTAAAAAAATAAAGATTTCATGTATATTTATACTGCTTTTTTTACCCTAAAATAACTCACTGATTGATTTGTTCCTGGCTCATGGCAGCAAAATAGAAGCATTCTGTGATGCCATTTATGGCCAAGATGAGTACGTAGAGACAGTACCAGCGGAGGAGGGTGGGTCCAGTGCCTGCAGAAAGGACCTCACCCCCGTACCAATCCAGGGCAAGGAAAGAGTAGGCATAACCAAACACCAGGATGAGCATGCCCAGCAGCATGACGACTCGGAGCAGACTCTGTAAGACCCGCGACGCTAAATCCACCGAGTCCTATAACCAATCAGTAAATATCAGTTAACTCATGGTCACTATCATCATGTAATAAAATTGTATCTAAACTCAACTGCAGTTTAAGGATTCCTGCCCCATTGCACTGTGTTTTTTTCTACATACAGTAACTTCTCCTTAATTTCTGTTTGGATATAACTGTTGCACAGTTGGACCATGACACTTCCATTGACCAGGCAGTTAATTGGTTAGAGTGATGGTATATCAATCTGAAGTTCAAGGTCCGAATCTCGGCCTAGCCCTGTTGTTTATGTCATCTTTAATATTTCTCCAATGCGTAGTTACAGCTTTAGGCAGTGGTACAGGCATCCTTAAATTAACCAGCTGTTTGTCTTATTTTTTAAGAACACGATAGAATTATGAAATATATTTGTGTACTGTTTTTGCTCTTGTTTAAATCATTCCCTGAAATATACTTGTTAGCCAACAGATTATTTCCTTATATAATGAAAATTTGAATTATTCTACAGAAGACTCTAAGTTAAAAACTCCATTAACATATTTAATACATATAAAAAGCTGTCTGCATTACATTCTCACTTTATTTTTTCACATAATAAAACTGAATACTGCAAAGATAACTGCTTTATAATCAAAATTATCAAAATAAGACAACATTGTTTAGGGAAAGAGAGGAACAATGATGTATTTGTCAAAACAAGCACAAACCAAGCTGGTTACATGTATCATCGCTGGGGGAGTCAAACTACACACCATGTACGATATCACAGAGTTATTAGGCTGTCATGTCAGTAGAAAAGTCAATGCCATAAGGGTACTACCTTTTACTCACAGTTAACTCAATTGTTTTAATAAACTCAGTTATGAATAGTTCAGTGCAACATGCATTTAAAATTAGAATTTGAAATCTAGCTGACATGCAAAAGAAACTATTATATATACCAGGTATGTATAAGTACATTGTGTACATAAAGGAAGAACTTACTATGGAAACAAACTCCAATACCTACATGCATCGCTCTTGTATGATATTTAACAAATTAATCATATTCAAGAATGTTTCTTCGGCAAGTGGGGAAAGAAATGACATGCACAAAAAAACCAAAAAAAACTTAAAACTCACTTCCTACTTTGTAGATTATCTAGGGTCCAGTTCTTACCAGAATTTCAAAAAAGAAAACTTAAAATTTAAATCTTAATTGATATTGTAACTGATGACCTAGTTTTTTTGAAGGAACTCCCACAACATACTGACCTAGTCTAATTGCAAGATCTCTTGTTATATTTAGCTTCTTACATGACCTTGAAATAAGCTGTTTATCTTGATCTCTGCATTGTTGACAGTAGCTTAGATGCTTACTTTAGGCTGGTCTCTGCAGGATTTCCCGCGCATCAGAGACTGGGAGAAGAAGAGCCGTCCACTTTCCTCGAGAGGCAGGAAAATAAAGCGAGGAACCATGGAGCCCAGGTTATTGATGACATCATAAATTCCTGTAACCAACAGAGAAAAGGGAGTATGTATTGTATAGTGTTTGTGACAGGAAGGATGTCAGGAAAATGAACGTACTAGTGTGTCGTGATTATCACAGGAGGGACAGCATTTTTGCCTGTAACAGACAGAAAAATAGGCGTACAAGTGTGTAGTAGTCATGACAGGTGGGACAGAACCTTTCAACACCTGCAAAAAATGGGGAAATGATGTGTGTGGAGGTAATTATGAGATGAGGGATATCATTTGCGTACATAACGGAGTACTAGTGTTTGGCAGTTGTGACTGAAAGGAGTGATGTTACTTACATGTGTTACAGAGCAAAAGGCTACATGTATACAGTATGTGTTAATCATGACAGAAGTGAAGTTTAACAACTGTAGCAGAAAGAATAATAGCAACATAAGTGCTGCAAAGGTTTGTGGAAGTAGGAAAGAAGGGAATGTGAACTTCACCATTGACCTCTGACCCTGAAAAACAACAGGCACTTTCCTTAGGTCAGAAGGTTTATATTGATGTAAGTGAAATTTAAAGCTGATCAGAGGTTACAGTGGAGGGATATCATCCATTAAATCTTTTTATCTCTCACTGGTGATCTTGATCTTTGACCTCTGACCCTGAAATATAGATCACTGGTGATCTTGTCCTTCGACCTCTGACCCTGAAATACAGAGGTCACCTTCCTCAGGTAGATGTTGCAGTATAGGGGATAGCATTACATGTACTCCGCCATGTCCTGGTCGATAGAAAATTATGTGGTGGACAGCCCGTCGTTGGAGTCTGAAAGTCACTGGTGACCCATCCTCAATAATGTAACACAGATAACCTGCTACATCGCAAATAATGGGATTACCACTGAACATTGAACATTCAATTTAAAAAGTTTGTTTGCTGCTCATAAAGTCTCTCCTTGTCCTAATCTGAAATCCATGCCAGTCAATAAGCCCACTCATAATAATTTAATTGCCCATCTTCCCTACTTTGAGTCAGAGAAGATGTGTTTGCCCCCAGGCTTCTGTGGCAATGCTTAGGATCCAATACCATCCAACGTTGGCCAAGAGACATATTTCCAATCACTTAAAATGTGTATAACAAAGGAAAAAACTATTTCTGATCACAACTATTGTGGTGAGTTTATGTGATGTACATCTTCTACTTATCTCTCCAAATCTTCCTACTGACGTACACAAACAATAAAGTTATGGTGGATTATCTTTTATTATTATCAGAAAACTTCTGAAATTGTTATTCAATGGTGTTTACATTTTTTTATTTTATTTTCTCGTTTTTCCCTTCTGTAATTCTAGTAAAATAATATTTATCAGACTGCACATTTTCAATTTCACAGTAACTTATTTCCAAAAAATCAGTTTCCACATCCATTGTTCAGAGATGATAATGAACATGTGGAAAAAACAGTTCATCCAGCTCCTTGAAAAACTTACATTGTATGCACAAGACATAGATTTTCATGCTACATTTTACACAATATCTAGAGACACCAATATATAGGTCTCATGCTGATTAAAGATTACAATATTTTGTTTGTACTTAAACTCTCACTCTGATACAGCATAGCCCTGACATCACACACCAATATATACCATGTTCTATACATATATCAACATGCCTATTTCCTTACATAGATAATTATGTCAGAGAAAGTTTTCCTTGTTTGGTCCTTGTCTAAACTTTAAGAAGATGAAATTTTACTACTATGTATAAGTGTTTGTTATTCATAAAGAGTATAACATTCCAGAGCCTTTAAAAACTTTCTATCCATTTTCTCATTTATTCATTTCTGTACTCCAATTTTTTGCCTTTTAAAGTGGGGGGTTCTGTCATCAATAGGCGTTTTCTCATACAGGGTAGTAGTGTCATTTTTTGGTATTATCATTAGTTTCTGTCAACCTGTTAAAATAAAAGCTGCTTCCTACTGACTCGACTAAAGAAATTAGTAAACCAGAGGTCCCAGGTTTGATCCCTAGTGGAGGTTTTGAAAAACATAATTACTTCTTTTGCATTTCCACAATGTTATTTTTTTCAATGTATTTTTAAAATCCATGTTATATGTTTGTCACTATTTGATGGGCTGCATGCTACTGGAGCCATGCCAGACTATTTCAGAGACAAGGTCGTACTTGACACTGTTTGGTCACAGTTCTGCTACGGTCAATGATCAGGTAGAAGAAATACTGGTACGAGTCATCCAGCTCCTTGAAAAACTGACCAGTGTTATCTATCACACCATAAAAACCTGAAATGCCAGCAGTGTTACAACATCATCTACGCTTAAAACACATTCTACCCAATTTTGTTTTGAAATGCTGAAATCCCTACCACAAAATAATGCAGTGGTGCCATTCATGTCTGATAACCATTACCAGGGAACTTGTATTGCACAGCTAAAACCTGATATATTATACAATGCCCTGACATATCAGTAGGTGAATAAAAGGAATCACAATCCAGTGTAAAGGTTGTATTGAGTTATTAATTGTTTATTAGAGGATTGAAAACAACACATGGTGTTCTTTTCTGCAAAATTTATGATAAAAAATTATAATTATTAGTGAAATGATGTTAAGTCGTGACCCAGCAAAACAGCTTAAATCTCCCTACTTAAAACCCAATCCAAACTCCCCACTTTGAAACACAATTATCCCTACATTGTGTTCCAAAGTCATCACAAGAATACTATTCACTGAGGATGAAGACCAGATTGAATTATTTTCTAGGGGTGAAAATTCCTATACTTCTTTAATGAGGGGATAAAATCAAAAAGATGCTAAAGGGAGACAGTCAATGTAATAATGTAAATTTCAATGAGGGATCTCACAATACAGAACCCAATTTTCTAGATTTTTGTGTGATTTAAAGTATTATGTTTTAACCATTTGAATAACTTTTTTAACTCTTTTTATTCATTCATATACAGTGTTTTAGCTGCATATTTCAATGAAATACATGAATAATAGCGAATTAATTATTTCTTACAAATATTTTTACGAAACAATCTTATTTGTATAACAATATAACTTGGAGATATAAATATCGACATTTCCATGTTTTGACAGCTGAAATGGTCAGAAAAACATGTTTTCTCATTATGTCACGTTCTGGTTAATATCGTGTTTCCATCTGACATATTAGAAGTGATATTACCGTCAGCGAAAATCTACTGTAATACTGTCAACCTTTTCAACCATGAAATCAGTAAACAGTTTGCTTTACATTTTTTTTTTACAATCCTAAGAAATCTAAAGGCAAAAAGTAGAATTTAAAATACTTTTATGAGCTGTTCACAGACAAAGAAACTAGCTACTAGGCAGCCATGTAATAAGATAGGTTATGGTCACAAGTGATACCACGTAATATAATTGTGAATATACAACCACTAAATATACTCATATACGATACACTGTGCAAGTATATACCAGGAAATATTCACCACAGCTGAACAGTCAACCCTTTTGCTTTCTGGGTAATGAAGTTGAATCCATCAAGACAGCAATTATAAGTACACAGCTTTCTTAGCATATTATTTTTAGTGTGAAAGGCAAAATTAACACTTTGCAAATAGTGATTTTAACGAGGAACTTATAATGGCGTTATTTCATTAGGCAACTTTTTCCCAGTATAAAGTATGCTTGTAAATGATGTACTCTTAATACATAAATATATTTGTGAACAATTGTGAACATCATATGTACATTTTGCATTGCTATAATGCTAATGGTTCAAACATCTATTTTTTATGGTGATATCTAAATTCAGATTACATATAGGATATACCCAGGTACAGGGATATAAACATCAACAGGAGTTCAGTACCCCACACATAATCACTCTTTGGGATAAATATGACATTGTTTGATTATTTTTTTCTTTGAGTAAATACAGTATCTGGTAACCCAAATGGTCTTTGAAAGAAAACTCCCTGTTAAACAAGCTCAAGTACAGGACATCACAATTTCGTCTGCTGATAAAAACATAGGTACTTACCCTGGTCACCAAAGCTGAATACATTGAATATCGTCATCACATATTTCTCCCCTGCAACACAAGAAATAACAGGATGCAAATCATGAAAATATCAATAAAACAGATAAGTTGTAACACAGCTAGAGAATATCACTGCTGATGTCATGGTTCTTATATTTGAATACACATAAATCAAAACGTGAAGAATGAAAAAATGAAAGAAATGACTTTTCTATCTTGTGTGGCAAAAGTTTTAATTTGAATAAATCAAAATCTTTATTATTTTTAAAATCTTTTATATAAAAACAAAGGACTGACTGACACCATACCTTCAATGTGAAACTGTTTGAGTAGAGACAGGACACCTTACCTTCAGTGAGGAACTGTTTGAGTAGAGACAGGACACTTTACCTTCAGTGAGGAACTGTTTGAGTAGAGACAGGACACTTTACCTTCAGTGAGGAACTGTTTGAGTAGAGACAAGACACTTTACCTTCAATAAGGAAATGTTTGAGTAGAGACAGGACACTTTACCTTCAGTGGGGAACTGTTTGAGTAGAGATAAGACACTTTACCTTCAACGAGGAACTGTTTGAGTAGAGACAGGACACTTTACCTTCAATAAGGAACTGTTTGAGTAGAGACAGGACACTTTACCTTCAATGTGAAACTGTTTGAGTAGAGACAGGACACTTTACCTTCAATAAGGAACTGTTTTAGTAGAGACAGGACACTTTACCTTCAGTGAGAAACTGTTTGAGTAGGGACATGACACTTTACCTTCAGTGAGGAACTGTTTGAGTAGGGACAAGACACTTTACCTTCAGTGAGGAACTGTTTGAGTAGAGACAGGACACTTTACCTTCAGTGAGGAACTGTTTGAGTAGAGACAGGACACTTTACCTTCAGTGAGGAACTGTTTGAGTAGAGACAAGACACTTTACCTTCAGTGAGGAACTGTTTGAGTAGAGACAGGACACTTTACCTTCAGTGAGGAACTGTTTGAGTAGAGACAGGACACTTTACCTTCAGTGAGGAACTGTTTGAGTAGAGACAGGACACTTTACCTTCAGTGAGGAACTGTTTGAGTAGAGACATGACACTTTACCTTCAGTGAGGAACTGTTTGAGTAGAGACAAGACACTTTACCTTCAGTGAGGAACTGTTTGAGTAGAGACAGGACACTTTACCTTCAGTGAGGAACTGTTTGAGTAGAGACAGGACACTTTACCTTCAGTGAGGAACTGTTTTAGTAGAGACAGGACACTTTACCTTCAGTGAGGAACTGTTTGAGTAGAGACATGACACTTTACTTTCAGTGAGGAACTGTTTGAGTAGGGACAAGACACTTTACCTTCAGTGAGGAACTGTTTGAGTAGAGACAGGACACTTTACCTTCAGTGAGGAACTGTTTGAGTAGAGACAGGACACTTTACCTTCAGTGATGAACTGTTTGAGTAGAGACAGGACACTTTACCTTCAGTGAGGAACTGTTTGAGTAGAGACTGTTTATAGAAGCTTCCTGCCAGGGATACCATGTAATCATTCAGGTATTTCTGTGAACACAATAGTTACATTTTAGCAATTTCAGCAGTGTATCTTAACATTTACACATTAACATTTTTACTACATGTATCACTGATTAAAATAAATGACCTTTTTTAGCATATTTGAAACATAAAAAACAATACTTGCAGATCTGAATTGACACATATTGGACCTAACAATATTCAAGGATTGAATCTAGAAACTAATCAAAGTGTCTCGAATACACACACAGTCACCCACCTACCTTAATGGTTAACAACACTCCAGATGTTGCTTATGTAAGATATCATACATCAGGCAAAATGTATGGTTCATAAGCACCCAATCTATAGTTAGTGTTATTAAACGGTTGGCAAGTGAAAATCTAACCTGAACATCAATGATCAATTAATAATTGACTCAGTAGTCGACTTAATGTAAATTTTACATTATGAGTCAGTTTTTTTAAATGACATTTTCTGTCAAAAAAAAAAAATGGGAAGAGAATCTACTTTCACTTATGAATCAATGAAAGGACAACACTAGTCTATAGTATACAGGATGTATCAATCTTCAGTAAAGTATCTGGTAGTGACTTTCTTACCTTGTCTTTCGGTTTCTGTGGAAAGAAATCTCTAGGTCTCTGGAACACAAAGTCTTTGGGTTTTGACTTGTCGTTTAGGTACCAGTAGAAGGTCAAGTAATAAAACAGAGTGTAAGTTATTCCATGGACCACCTGTAACAAACATACCATATCCCTATTATAGTATCAATCTACATGGCATTTATCAATCTTGTACATTCCCTGATACAGTATTTCAATGGGAAACAAAAGGATGTCTGTACAAAAAACTTTGTGATTGGAAGTACTAGTGAAGCCATTTTTTTTAACAATAAATTTTGAATTTTAAATTGTGTTGATCTATAAGCTAGTAAATGTTTACCAAATTAAACATTACTGTTAACATACAATAGGGAACAATACATGGCATGAATAATGATCACTAACCTGACTCAACTAATCTGAAGTAGGAAATATTCCACAATATTTATACTATGTGTATTATCTGTGATTTTGTGTAATTCTGTGACATTGCACACGCTGTGACTGTAGACTGAAGGGTGGTTCAGTGGCGCTGTGGATAGCGCACTTGCCTTTCATAGAGGCGGCCGCAGTTCCATTTCCCGATCAGATGTGGGTACTCTGAGTTTCCTCTCACATTAAGACCCTGTGCACGATAACGTCTGGGCCAACAATAGTGATTAATAGAAATTGTAAAAACTTGTTTCATAATTGTTGTAAAATTAAACGAGCAAACTCAGCCATGGGTATCCGACGATGTGTTTTACTATGACTGTGTATAACGTTAACTGTGTTAATATGTGTCAGGGTGTATTACCTGTCCTATTGAGAAGGAGATGAGGCCCAGATTTGGGAAGTAGATCACCAGGAACACGATAGTAAGACACTTGGTTAGTTCAGACAGTCCCACTGACAACACCTGCAATCACAAACATGTAATTAGTAAATGGTCAGGTAGATCTTGTTCTTCTGAAATACCTTTTTGTTTTTACGTTTCATTTTACATTACAAGTTTTATTACAAAAATATATTAAGGCAAATAGTAACAAACCTACTTCTCTCATGAAAATATTCCTATGATACATATGTGTTTTAGCTAAATTGAGTTTTATCCCTAATTAAAGACAGCTGCTCAACACAAAAGCTTTATTTTCATGCATTTTGAGCACCCTAATGACATGTGTAATAACTGTCATTTAAGAATTATCATTGATGCACAGAAATGTTACAGTACTATCAGCCAATCAAAATTTAGGAAATGCTAAAGTTGTATTCATAAGCAATTTTTGTAATTTGTATTTTTTGTGGATTACACGTACAATCATATCCTGGAACTTGACCTATGCATTGTGATTATTTAGAAAATATCAAAATCTTACCTCAATTCTCAAGAAAACCTTGACTTTGAAGATGGAGAGTTGAAGCTTATGTTATTACTTTTGATGTAATGTTCAGTTTAATGACAAATGAAAATTTGGCCCTAATTTCAGTGAGATAAGTAACGTTTTGGCATTATCTTTAATCACACAAAAGAAAATTTGACAATTTCTTTAGTTTGTCGAATACAAAATTAACCATGAATTTGACAAGAGAGAATTTGATCTTACCCGGAGTTTGACAAATAAATGTGCCTGGCCAACAATGAAATGTGGGCGTGCCAAGACCGTGATGATGGTTGCCAAGGCAAAGCTAACTACACCCCAGCCATAATGGGGCACAACCTCTTCATCAGGGAGTTTCAGTACAAACAGCCACACAAAGCTCAATAACCCACAGCAAAGAACACTGACAGGCCATCTGTAATATGAAATAATATTCATGAGAGAACTGATCCATTTTAGTTGAATCCTGAACTGTGAGTGCATGATTAAAATTGCTTTCTAAGATCAGATTTCAAAATTGCATTAATGATATATAATTACTTACATAAATTATGTAAGTATTTACATATTATGTCATAATGTATATCAGAATACTTACGAGCACCACATGAGGTTGACCACCTGTGTCCAATTTTTCCCTTCAATCTTACTGAGGCAGGCCTGGTCGAAGGCCTCTGTTGAGATAAACAGTGCTGTACTGTACAGTAGGGTCAGTCTGTAACACAAGGAAAATAAACAGTGTGAAACATCTCCCTGGAGATAAAATGGCTCAAACCACCTCTGTGGAAGGCGTTTGTTTTGTTTGGGGTTTAAACATCTTTGCAACATCTATGGTCATATAAAGACAGGTACCCAAGGAACAGCTGAACAGTTGATATAAAAAAGTAAGTAGGAAAGAAAAGATAGATACCAAGTGTTACAATGGCAGCAGACCAATTTTAGTATTTTTCTAAGCAGAAGACCCAGAAAAAAGCTAACAATTCTGAAGAGGGATTAAATAAGATGTCTGTTGCAATAACAACAGGTTTTCATCAGTTTATAAATTGCATGTAACCTTATATTTTTACCAAAAATAAGTATATTTTAATGGACACCACAGTATAGCAGTGATCATCAAGTCCCAGTCAATACTACTTGTCTTTGTGCAAGAAAGCCTGAGCTTCAGGCCACTCACTCTCCAAACATTTTTTCGGTTTGATACCTAGTGATGGCTAAAATGAAATTACTGATGCCTGGTAGGACTATCTCTAGTTGTGATTCTTCAGATGGCACAGAGGTTTCCCTAATGCATTTTTGGCATTGTAATAAAAACCTGACAGAGAGTATGTCTGGTGTTAAAAGTGTACGTACATGATGTTAAAATAGGGTTATTTACATTTTATTTATCTATTTCAGATTAATTTTAAAAAATCATTGATATATTGTTGAAAAGGAAGTCAACAGTCAAATATTTGATTTAAAAAACAACAAAAATGAAAATGGGTCACCTTGTCCTAATTATTATACACACCTGGACACTTCTTTTTTTAATTTAAACATCTTTGACTAATTTATGGCAGGTGCATGTTACCTGATAACCATCACAGTTCCCAGTTAGATAAACCTGTTTTTTATCATGAATGATATCGACTGGAGGGCGACATTTCTTTCAATGCAGAATTATGTCATTATTTACTACAACTATGATATTGATAATGATGACTATTTAACATCAGTCCGGACGGGAAATTGTGAATGTGAAAATGAGTGCCAGAATAAATAATTGTTTGAATGAGTTACATAATTGTCACAGGAGGTGTGGTATGTAAATAAGTGATATATAATGGAAAGTGAGAACAATTTTAAGGACTTAATGATACAATTTACCATGGCCGGGCAGTCACAGTCTACTGGGAAATTATTTGCAATACTCACTGTATATGTCAAGTGAAATCTTGTACATGTTACACACAATGCTGTGCATTGAAACCACTGACAGCAGTAAAGAACTTAGGAAGTGATTCCAATGTTTCTCTTGCCTGGTTCGTTTCCAGTTTTGTGATTTACGGTAGATATTTTTTCCCTAGATTTGATAAAGAAACACAACAAGTTTTACAAAAGAAATTGTTGCAACCCAAATGTTCACGGATGCTATATATAACAAGAGAGGTCCAGAGGCCTGTACTGCTTCCTGGATATCAAGTAATCACTGCAAAGTGTTCTCATTAATAGTAATACCACAATATAATAAATATATCTACACTATGAATTTTGCTTCTCAGTTCCAAAGGGGAAACACTTCTCCTTTATATATCATAGGTTTCTTGGCCTCAAGGATGCTTTAAAAGTTTAAGGTAAATTCAATTAAAATATAATCAAGTGGTAAAGTCAAAGTGTAATGACTCGGGTACTAGTCCCCAGTGGTAGGGTTAGATCCCAAGGCCAATCCCAGAAGCAGGAATCATGCATTTGTCTTTTCATGCATAGCAACACTGTGGGAAAAGAGAAGAAATCTGAACTGTTTTCATTTTATGATCCAGGAACTAAGTCCTCAAGACAGAGCTGGACCCTAGAGTCAATCTTAGGGCATGTTGTAATTTATCTCTTTATGTCTATTACTTATGTATATATACTATGGCGAGGATTATGTATGTACATGTAGTACAACTGTACAAATAAATCCTTAACTTGGGACCCTAAGGATACCTTCTAGCACCAGAGGTTAATTTCACTTAATCTTGTACACAATATGATCTTCTTACCCTTTTGATATTACAAAACCAAACATAGTTGTAGAGCAACTGTTATGGAAAAGGCAGTTTCAAAGCAAAAACACCATTGAAGATTTAAAGTTGAATCTCTTGCCCTTACTCCATTTTCCCTATTTCGCACTGCCCCTCTTGATCTGCCTCCAGGTTGAACCCTTCTCCTCCCCCTACTCTATTTATAAAACAGTGAATTCCCTCGACACATTATGGTGCTCCAAACCCAATTTGGATCATATTCTTTCATCTCTCCTAAAGGAGAAAGACTTTATTATCCAATGTATAAGAGGGTAATAAGAAACAAAGTTATCAGATCTTTTTAATATATCTAACAATTATATTTGCAGTTTTCTGTCTTGAGGTTCTTATAACACTTCCTGTCACATAATACTTCACTACTCAACGTTTAGGTAGAGTATCAAGTAACATGTATACTGGGTTCTATAACATCGACACATGAACACCTAATGCAGCCGAACAGCATGTCCATTATTACATATAGCCAAATGGTGTCGTAACAAACAGAATTACTGTCCTAATTGTTAACCAGGGACAAATGCGTTCACAGAAGGTGCAACTTCAGAACAATTAATTTTCTCATATGCTGATCCAGATGGCAGGTTATAATTTCTGCTAGCAACGTATCAAGTCAGAAGAGGATATTTAGACGTCTTCACAAGCCCAAGCTTCCGATCGACATTCAACAACAACAACCAGAGGTCCAGTTACTTATGAGTCATGGGTTTATCCATATTGTTTTTCTATGCTCTGTAAAAATGTAGTTAACCGCTCTGATGAAAACATTAACATGAATTAAAATAAAACTCTTTATTTCATTATCATTATTTAGACTGCAGTTCATATAATTAAATGCAAAATTAATGTACAAACCTGACATTGACTACACCCAGCAAGTCCTTGGAAATGTACCTCAACACCACAGCATTCAGCACGAAGGTCATCATTCTGATAGACAGCTGAAATGGAAAAATAAATGAGTTCTCTGCTGATCAGGATACTGTAATTATCTGGTCCTTAATTGATGTTACCATTTCCGATGTTTGCGAGATGAAAAACAGGAGGCGCAAAGGGCCTATATCACTCTCTGGTCATTCATTTACACATGTACATGTAATAGCATTAAGAATTTAAATATTGCTACTGTGAATTTTGTGCTTTTAAGAGTCCAAAACATTATTTAGATGTTCAGATACAGACTAAGATAACATTTAATCTAATTCTGTGATTCAGACAATGGTCCCAACTTGGGATCCAAAAGTAATTTGTAGAAATATATCCGATATAATTTAATCCTAGCAAGCAATAGATTAAAATATATATTATGATAAATTTGTATCACAGATCACAGATTCTTGAGCAGAATTTGGTCGGGAAAACAATACAAAATAAATGGGTCTAAATGCGTTCTCTGGCCTTCCAAAAGTTATACCACGGCAATATGATGGTCGAGTTCTACTTGCTATGTCCAGTTTTGACCACTGAAATCTCGGGGAAGCCCCGCTTAAATTTAGCGCAGATCTATTTATATGTCACGTGGTTGTTTCGAAAGTGAGGCAGTGAAGATAACAACAATAGCACGCCGTCTATCAGCCATGTCGGGCTCAACTAGCGGACAAGACAGCAATACTATATGTAAATAATTGCTTTCAAAGGTCATGTATGATGCAAGTGTAGTATTCCTACCTATATGTTCTTGTTATATATAACGATATTGATTCCTCGTGCCTGTCATGACTTTTGCATGCATCTATTTCTTTCGCCGCAATGTTTACATTTGGTCTTGTTGATGACGCGGATGCAGTAAAATTACATCACTGATCTGGGTCAATTGAGAGTTTTAAACTGTCAGGTGACGATTTAGGATTTCTTTAATATAATTGTAATATTTACCCTAGGGAGTGAATTTCAGCAAAATTGGAATCGGTATTATTTCATAAGAAGGTATTTTGAACATGTTTATGCCATTTTAGCAAATATGACAACTTTTCCCCGACCAGCCCCTTTAAAATTTTAATACCTAACTATTTTTTCAGATATTTTTTTTGGTGCACAAAATATTCGAGTAGAAGTGTTTTTTCAGATTTTCAGCCTCAAAAAGTACCTGCGCAAATTACATAGGTGCACAAATTACGCGGCAAATTATATGACAAAGGTGACCTTGAAAGCAGGTCAAAGTTATTAAAATTAAGTAAAAAGCACTTCAAGATTATTCATCTCAGCAAGCTACAGAGTGACAGAATGAAGGTTCTGCACACAGAAGCTTTTTGAAATTTTAATATAATTGAACCCTGTGACCTCGGGTGTTGTTAATTTGAACAAAGTTGATAACTCACATCAGCAAGATACAATTAAATACCATCATTCTGTACATCATGGTTCTTCAACAGTTAATTGTTAGAAATAGTTAAGTGATTTGACACCTTGACTTTGAAAGTGATTACTGATTAAGGATAGTTGTTTGTGCAATGTTGATAATCATTTACGGTATTCAAACAAGCTATTGACCAAAAAGTATCCCTCTTAAATAAGGATTCACAATTCTTAAAAGGATAATTCTCAATTATTTAACACATTTGACTCCTGTGAAAGTTATAAAAGTGATACATGTACCACAAAAAAATATCCTTGTAACAGAGTCAGGTGGGTGCCAAGGACAGGAGCTTGGTAAGAGAGGTGCTGCATGCTGCAATGAGGGCAGCAAATCTGTTTTTCGTTTCTTCAGTGTACCCACAGGGTAAACTATAATCAGTGTTTCTGTCAGCAAAAAATAGCAGGGTGACATACCCTGCCTACATTCTGAACACATGTGTGATGCCCTGCCCTTCCCCAAATGCCCACCATCATAGATCTTCATCAGTTCTATGCAAGTTGGATTTTTTCACTCCATTTCCCTTATCTGTTTGATTGAAAGTCTTGTCAGCAGTAAAAGTATCTTGTGGTAACTTTATACAACTGTGCCTTGTTCTCTCAAAAGTTAGGTTGGCATTTGGCCTTCTTATATAAAGAGTTAAGTAATGTGTAAAAAATGAACAAAGAGTTTCTGTTTTCTTGCAGCCATATTTTTCTTCAGATCAAGTGGTTTAAGCTCAAGTAACATATGAAACAGAAAGAACCTACTTACAAAATTTGAGAATGAACTGGTAATTAAGTTCAAGATGTCTGTTTGGAGGCCATGTTTTTTCCCCTAAAAGCTGAAATGAAGCATGTATAACTAAGAACCAAGTCATGAGGAGCCTAGATAGGTACTTTGATCAGTCTTAAAAGGAAACATGCACAAGTAAGACTAAGAATATAGGAGAAACTACATGAAATCTGAGAAAGACCCAAAAACTACTATCAGAATCCAAAATAGCCACCTGGCAACCATCAAGCTGACTGAGGGGAACTTACATCTAAAATTTGAGAAAGATCTGTCCAGTGTCTAGTACTCCTGTGAAAAAGTATACGTATGTGATACAATTTGAATTGACAAAATCAAAAATGGCCATCCAAAGGCCATCTAATTATTCTTCAGATCAGTTTCGCAATGAATTTGTGCAGAACTACAGGACCAACGTTAATTGGGAACCTGAATTTTGATTTAAGAAAGATCTTTTCAGCTCTTCTTGAGAAATAGTGATAACAAGGATTGTTTGAGGGCAATTAACAGGAAACAGATGACAGACCATGGATGAAAGGTGATTTGAACAGCCCACCAGGTGATGGTGGGCTTATAAACAAATCAAACCAAATGTACTTTATTTTCAAATAAGGGCCCTTTTGAGCATCACACTCAACAATCGTAATTGAATCAGTTATACAAAACAAAAATTACATGTATTAAGAAATGTGTAATAGATCTAGAAAGACTGCATCTGGTCGATACAGAGATTTTACATTGTATGCACTATATATATATATGTTGTAAACATTATCAGTTTCACCATTGTTTTGTGGGGAATAATAAGGAAAGTTCATATATGAAATAACTCTAAGACAACATTTCTCAAACCAGGAACGACAGTCGCACTGCAAAAAACACCAAGGGGCGATGCAAAAGGTATAAAATAAATACCTTCTTGTACATGTGCTCATGACAAGAGGGAAAGATACAAAAGAGGTGGGTTAAACATGTACATATATATCCTGTTGTACATAGCAGAATCAGGAAGATGCCCTCAGGACAAAGCTCTGTAGTGAAGGCTTGACCACAACAAACTATACAGATAGTTGATAACTGTCTGTATTGTATGTGTGTATATATATATCTAGTATGAATATGAACATGTTAGTTTGGTGGGGTTGGGACAGGAGGTAGCATCTTCAGTACTAATTAATAATGTTAAATCAGGGATTTACATTCACAGATTGGTGATCATTATGCTCTTTGACTTTGTAGATCTTTATAAACCCTATCAATGGATGTTCATGACAATGTGCATGATGAGCTCACAGCAATTGACTTGTTTAAATTACTACACTCAGAATTTCACTGTTTCAGTTATTATGTGGAAGACAATTGCAAAATGCCCCAAAAACACTGCCAGGCTTCATTTTTTGGGATATGACCCAGTTCCCCTTTCAAATACCTTGCTCGAAAATTGAACACAGTTGACTAATTGTGTCTGCTTCACTGCATTTGATTATGTTATTGCAGAACTCAATTATCAACTATGGTACTACAGATATATGTACGATCATTGTTTTCCAGTATTTTGAGACCAGGTCTATCTTTTTTCCGGATGTTAGGTTTCATACACTCATTCCCTCACGAATAACTTAACTCAAAACGTCTCATATAATACAGTACATGTATATTGGTAGTACAGTTGCAGAAGGCATAGTCAGCTTTTCAATAGTTTTACCTGTAAAAACACATTGTATGTGGCTGCCTTGGCGGCTCCTGCCAACAATTCTGGTCCTTTCATCGTATTGTTGTCTTGACCACACAGTGCTTGCTGACAGTGTTGAAGCAGACGATCTCTGCCTCTGGTTTTGATGCTACGGCCTCAGAGTCAGACTCGGTCAGAATGATATCGTCGTGGAACCCACGTTCGATCGTGTATCTATATCTGCACTACAGGAATGTTGGACCATTAGGGAGAGCGGTTGAATTACCGTGTCTGGCATTTGTCTAACACTACGTTGAGATAAGGATGCACGCGTGTCAGGCTGACGAAACGTAAACTAACTTAGAGCTCCTAACTTACAAACGATAAACTTATGTAGAAATAGGAGGAATTCCGAGTGATTTTGGATTCAAGCTTTTTTAAGATCTAGATTTTGTTTAATAAACATTGTGTACTCGTACACTGAAAGCATTTGGAAGATTATTATGTGATTTAGCGGGAACAGACGAGATGCCTAAAACGAAGAAGCAGCTATCAAAAGATTCAGTAAGCTAAATAACCGGGAAATAACCTGCATGGTTTTATCAGAAAGATCAAACTCAATGAATATGCGATTATAAAATGAATAACAGTTTAACCGATTGAGTATGCGACTTCGGATGTCTCGGTTGTTTATATAATGTAACCACGGGCAAGATCCCTTCCTGTATTTGATATGTGACCGTCAAAATTGGAGGTTCAAGATTTATGTGTCAAGTGATCATGATAAAAAGCTTCTACAAAATGGTTAAATTCTTAAACGTCTCATGCGTGATTTCATATGCACCGATTCTGGTAATATTTTTCGATCAATGTTTTGTCTCTGATAATCATCCCCATTTGACACTTGTCAGTCTTTTAGGTATAATGGATTTCACTTGTAACATACTATTATTATTATGAAGATGATCTGACCTTGGTAATGAAGATATTATAATAGCTGGACGTCTGTGGGGAGAGCCTGTCGTGCCGGTTGAAGTACACCCCGGAATTAGTGACCATGACATCATCATTGCCGAACTCAACACCAATGCCCAGAGACAGCGAAGACCAGAGAGAAAGGTGTACCAAAACAGGAAAGCTAACATGGACGGAATAAGAGAGGACATGAACCTTTACACCAACAACCTCCTACAAAGCGATACCACCAGGAAAAACACTGAAGAACTCTGGACAGACTTCAAAACCGCCCTGAACACCTCCACGGCAAAACACATCCCCATGAAGAGGATAACATCCAGATGGAACTTACCGTGGATCACGCCAGAGATTAAGAGGCTATGTCGCCAGAAGAAGAGAAGATACACACGGACAAAGAAAACAAAGAAGGCAGGGGACTGGATAAAATTTAAAGAGATGGAGAAGACTGTGAAAAGGGAGTCGGAGAGAGCCCACAGTGAATACACCACCAAATTCCTGAACACCAGCGCCTCAGAAAACCCAAGAAGTTCTACTCATACATCCGGAGTAAGAGAAGCAACAGTAGTAGGATACCATCCCTGAAGGAGAACGGGGAACTTTTATCAACACCCAAGCAGAAGGCATCAGCTCTGAATAGACAGTACCAATCAGTGTTCACCAGCGAACCCCTGGGAGATGTACCACGCAAGGAAGGAGCACCCTATGGACCATTGGACAGGATTTACTTCAGAGCTGAAGGAATAGAAAAACTTCTCAAGAACCTGGACACGAACAAAGCGAGCGGCCCTGATTGCATCCCTACAAGAGTGCTGAAGGAAGCAGCTAGAGAAATTTCACCATCGCTTTCTCTCATATGTCAACACTCGTACGACACTGGAAATGTACCGAATGACTGGAGGAATGCCAACATCACCGCGATCTTCAAGAAAGGAAGCAAGACTGACCCGAGCAACTACAGACCAGTGTCTCTTACCAGCGTGGTATGCAAGATGATTGAGCACATCATATACCAGCAAGTAATGAACCCCCTGAACCAAAACAACATCCTGGTCAAGTATCAGCGCGGCTCCCGGAAAGGTCACTCTTGTGAGTCGCAGCTACTCCAAACAGTGGATGAGATCTCCAGAGCCATGGACAACAGGAAGCAGGTCGACGTTATGATTATGGATTTCTCTTGAAGCGTTCGACACCGTGCCACATAGTCGACTATTGGAGAAGTTGTCCCACTATGGGATACAGCAGGAAACCCATGGATGGATACAACACTGGCTTAACAAGAGATCGCAGAGAGTTGTACTCGATGGAGAATCGTCAGCTGAAGTCCAAGTAGAGTCAGGGGCCCCCAAGGGACAGTCCTGGGTCCCCTGATGTTCCTTCTATACGTCAACGATATAGGCGCAGGAATCACCTCTTCTGTCAAGCTATTCGCAGATGATTGCCTCCTATTCAGGATCATTGACTCTGTCGCAGACACCCACCAGCTACAGGATGACTTAGCCAAAATGGTCAGCTGGTCGAACAAGTGGCTGATGAAATTCAACGCCAAGAAGAGTTACACGATGAGGATGAAGAGATCCCGAACCAACACAACAACAGGAGCCGACTATAACATCAATGGTAGTACACTCCAAGTAGTAGAGCACAACCCATACCTTGGAGTGGAAATAGCGAACAACCTGGACTGGAAGCAACATATCAACCAGATGACCACAAAGGCAAACGGATTACTATCCTTACTGAGGCGCCACCTTGGAAAATGCAAACAGGAAGTGAGAGAGAAGGCCTACCTGACCCTAATCCGACCAAAACTTGAATATGGAGCTTCAGTCTGGGATCCACATAAGAAAAACCAACAGAAGTCAATAGAAAGAGTCCAGCGGCGAGCAGCTCGATTCACAACCGGCGATTACTCGCGTTACAGTAGTGTAACCGGGATGTTGATCGAGCTACACTGGCGGCCCCTACAGAAGAGACGGAAGGAAAGTCGACTAACCAACCTCTACAAAGGCATCCACAACACCAACGCACTGATCATACCACCATATATCAGTAGTAACGCCAGAAGTGGAAGGAGACAACATAACCATGGCTATATCAACATACGATGCAACACCGACACCTACAAATACAGCTTCTTTCCAAACACCATCATGGAATGGAATGGACTACCATCAGAGGTCGTCGAGCAGCTGTCTGTGGAGGCATTCAAGACCTCGCTCCACAGTCATCTTGCAGAGTGAATGTGGATCCTGTAAATAGTTTTAACTTTTTAACCTGTTTTTAATGAACTTATGTGGAAGCCACGCCACACAAGTCTACCTGCAAGTTGATGCTGTTCGACGGCCCTTTGCAGTATCGCCGTAAATGTAAATGTAGATGTAAGTGATCGTATAGTAGTTTAGGTTTTCCCCAAAACTACAGACAAACTGACTGACTATCCACAAGATTGTCCTGCTGCATCCGTCTGTACAGTCAGACACAGGTCCGTCAGATGTGGAGGAGTATCCGAGTTATAAATCAATCAACACCTTGTTTCAAAGTTAACTAACGTTTCTTACATATCACATGGCTAAGGTATAGCCGGTAAAACATGGCAAAAAATATGTACATTAATAACAGTAGTATATAAAACAAGACAGAACAAAACCTACAGTGTAGAAAAAAAAATGAGGTGTAGTGAACCTATATATATTAGCCCGACGTGGTAAAATAAGGCCTATAGGTAAATGTACTTTTCTATAACTATACCAGTGAAAACTACCCCCTTCCGGAACACTGAAATACGTGAAGCTAACTAGCCTTAACCTTAACCTGACGTTCCCTAACGTGGGTGTATACTGCTTTCAGTACATCGGTAGCACTGTTTTCAGCGCCTCAGTAGATGGGTTTTTCCCTCCTGGTATAGCCGGCTTTCCGGCCACGCAAGTTCCCAGATTTTGCTCATGCATCCCCTTTTATACACCAGCCTCCTGGCCCTATGTAACATGTATCGGACATCCGTTCTAATGGGCTTAATCTATGGCGTATGCGCAGTGAGCCCAGAACCTCTTCCGGTAACTCCCCAACATTCGATCGTCTCAAAAGTAAACACCCATGTAAACAAATAGACTGCACTAGTGATATCCGCTACAAACGCCGATAGAATAGCCGTACCGTACCTTTAGTTACACTAGGAGGGCAATAAAAAGATACACAAGGAAAACAGTAAAATAAACACTTGGGCAACTTGTTTTCCCACAATATCAAAAAAAAGACATACCTTTGTCATAACCATATATCTATAGCATGTGTTGTTGTGTTCATTTAAGGATGAAGAATTTACGCCCGGGCCGTCCTCTCAGGCCCCATCATCACAGGCCCATAGTACACAGGCTCAGAAGGCTGCAGCCAGCATGGACCCTGCAGACCAAGAAAAACGACTCCATGATCTTGTACAGTATCTACTCATCATGGACCAGAAAAAACTTCCCATCAAGAAAATGGGTATTACTTCTAATATATTGACATTTCAACTGCAAGATCCTCTATAAGCATTACCATAAGAAACTGTGTCCATAGGGCTATGATTGCAGTTGGATCAGCATTATTTTGAAGTTTCTCCATTAACATGAGACAACTGTTTGAACTTAGAAGCAAACGTTTTGGTGACGTTTGGGTGTCCAGGAATCTCATTTGCACTGGCAACACAGACACTTCAATGTTGAAATATTAACTAAAAATTAAGAATCATTGAATATACCAGCATGAAATTGAAAAAAATGACGATCAAATTGGTCCAATCCATATATATAACTGCAATATATGTGGAGTTCTTGAGAAAATTGACCTCTTATGTTTCATTAAGTTTGTCATAACAGGAATAAAAGCTACATCACTACACACTTGTTCAAATTCCAGCTGTTATTTGTCATATATATATATAACAATTTGTGTGTTCAAACCACTTGTTGCAGATATAAACAAGCATGTATTGAAGGAACATCGTGGAGCCTTCCCAGTGATGATGAAGAAAGCAGGAGATGCACTTTTACAGGTATTTGGCCAAAACAGTAACCACCATGAAAGCTTCTGTTTACTATCATGTTTCAGTATTCCTGAACAAATTATAAATCTTACTTTTCATTCATGCTTTATAAAAAAAATCAGTAAAGTTTGTCCGTATCAATGGTGACCAGTAATATTAAGTGAAATATGTAGCAAAAATCATTTATATTTGACATCAAAATTGTTACTCATACTTGGTGTGTGAACTTTTGTGTGTCTTTTGGTTGGAGATGGGAGGTTCTAGACCATTGCACTGCACCATGTCTCAAAATTGTACCTGGCCCTAATAGGGATGGTAGCAACTTGATGTATGTGGAATTTACTGAATAAGTGTTAAGACTAATTAATCAGGTGGTTTTTTTTTTAGGTGTTTGGTATAGAGCTTGTAGCACTCGAGGACAAACTTAAGGGTACATACATCCTTGTAAACAGGGTAGACACTGATACAGAGGACCTGGGTAATCGAGATGGACAAGCGGGACAGGACTTCACACCTGTGGAATGGTGAGTGAGGACAGGACATTATATCTGGAGTCTTGAGTGAGGGCAGGACTTTACATCTGTGGAATGGTAAGTGAGGGCAGGACATTATATCTGTGGAGTTCTGAGTGAAGGCAGGACTCTACATCTGTGGAATAGTGAGTGAGGGCAGGACATTATGTCTGAAGTCCTGAGTGAAGGCAGGACTTCACACCTGTGTAATGGTAAGTGAGGGCAGGACATTATATCTGTGGAATGGTAAGTGAGGGCAGGACATTATATCTGTGGAGTTCTGAGTGAAGGCAGGACTTCACACTTGTGGAATGGTGAGTGAAGGCAGGACTCTACACCTGTGGAATGGTGAGTGAGGGCAGGACTGTACACCTATGTAATGGTGAGTGAGGATAGGACTCGACACCTGTAGAATGGTGAGTGAGGATAGGACTCTACACCTGTAGAATGGTGAGTGAGGATAGGACTCTACACCTGTAGTATGGTGAGTGAGGATAGGACTCGACACCTGTAGAATGGTGAGTGAGGATAGGACTCGACACCTGTAGAATAGTGGGTGAGGATAGGACTCGACACCTGTAGTATGGTGAGTGAGGATAGGACTCGACACCTGTAGAATAGTGAGTGAGGATAGGACTCGACACCTGTAGTATGGTGAGTGAGGATAGGACTCTACACCTGTAGAATGGTGAGTGAGGATAGGACTCGACACCTGTAGAATGGTGAGTGAGAATAGGACTCTACACCTGTAGAATGGTGAGTGAGGGCAGGACATTATATCTGTGGAGTTCTGAGTGAAGGCAGGACTTCACACTTGTGGAATGGTGAGTGAGGGCAGGACTCTACACCTGTAGAATGGTGAGTGAGGATAGGACTCGACACCTGTAGAATGGTGAGTGAGGGCAGGGCTCTGCACCTGTGTAATGGTGAGTGAGGGCAGGACGTTATATCTGTGGAGTTCTGAGTGAAGGCAGGATTTCACACTTGTGGAATGGTGAGTGAGGGCAGGACTGTACACATGTGTTATGGTGAGTGAGGATAGGACTCTACACCTGTGTAATGGTGAGTGAGGTCAGGACATTATATCTGTGGAGTTTTGAGTGAGGGCAGGACTTTACATCTGTGAAGTGGTAAGTCAGGGGAGATAATTCACATCTATTGGGTGGTGAGTCTAGGATCAATTAACACTTGTGGCTTGGTGAGCCGGGATGGAAAGCATACCTTTGGAGTGGTGAGTGATTAGCAGGTTTTGGGAACGGAGCTGAGCAGGTCTTAATTTTCACTTGTGGAATGGAAGCTCAGTATGCAACACTTGACATAGAAGATCAAGCAACTGGCATAGACAAATAAAATGGTATTTAAGTGTTAATAGAATCCAAGCAGGACAGTGTTAATGGTACTTCTATAGAATGGTGAACCATAATGGAACAAGAGGCATAGGTAATGACATTACATGTCAACCTGGGGATTGATTAAAAGAGGATAGGGTAGAACTCTTATAAAATTTGCTGTGATTCTAGAATGTTTGATATTGTTATTTTAGTATCCTACAGATTCTTTCATTGTAATACTTTGTAATCTAGAATAAACCAGATGTGCTGTTGAAATCAAAAGGTGGTTTTCAAATGGCACACTCTGACATGTGAACACTTGATGAATACATCTTTGCCGATAGCACCATATTAATTGTGCAAGAACTGTTGTTCTGATACATTTTTTTGTATGGCTATTTCAGGCCAGAAGAAGATGACGCCAAGACAGGCCTTCTTATGGTCATTCTCAGTCTCATCTTCATGAATGGACAGGTCATGCTGGACTGTAAGTGATACTTCCAAGGACACTGTCAAGATGTTATCATGCATAAATCCTTTTCAAGTTAGTTTCTAAAAGCTAAACAAAACAAAATGTCACTGCTAGATTTCATTATTACCACAGGTAGTTCATGACCTGGCATAAATTGTCTGCAATTCATGTTATGTTCTTTTGTCGGTCATGTACCTCCCTCTTTATAGGGATTAGAATTCTTGCATTCAGAATACTTAATTGATTTACAAATTACTAAGGTGAAGGGCTGTCAAATGTGTCAAAAGCAATTCACCTTGACCCATAATTCGCTTCCTTTTTTACTATATTTTCAAAACATTGCAATGGTTAAAACAATGTATAAACATTGCAACCAGATCTGGGTGATGAGCACAACAGTATTACATAGTTAAAGTGAAATATTAAGATCCATGAAATATTGAAATTAAATCCCAAACAAAAATTCCAGTTTTTACGGTAGGTGAAAAAAATAACATTTTTGTTTTATTAAATAATATTGGCTTGGAACATGGGAGAAATATCAACATTGATTTTTGTGAGAATCGGCATGATAGAAATTGAGAAGGGTTAGAATAGCAATAGGAAATCAGAGACCGGAGCACTTGGATTTTAAATCTGCTGTAAAAACTGTTTAATGGTTGTTTGTTCCATTTTTAGTTGATATTCTCCTATAATATCTTGAAAAGTAGTTAAAATGTTTCCCATAGAGGACTACAACTGTTGAATACATAGTACTGAATCCCCTTCATCCAGGGATGTCCCATGTCAACTCAGGACAGAATCCCTTCACTTGACGTACTTAAACTATCTTCAGACTAACTTTATACCGACAAACAGATAGTTGATGAATGTTTAACATACTGAAAACGATTCCTTTAAAATTTCAAATCGCTGATTTCAGCTTACATGTGGCACACCCTGAAAAAACTCGGAATCGATACGGAGTAAGTACATAAATGCTATGATTAAGGGACAATGCATTATGTTCTTTTGTTGAGCTTGTGTTTTATTTTAACTACTGCTTTCTATTTCTTAAAATTATGTTTCCCATTAAAATCAAAATACTGTGAACCACTAATTTTCAAGGGGTTTTTCATTTTGTTGATTTTGTGGATAATAGTCATCCACAAATTGTTGGGTCCACAAAGTAATTACAAGTGTGACATAAAGCAATTCTCAGTTTGAGTGGGGACTCATAATTCACGAATTCATGTACCCAGAAAGTGGTGTTTTGTCGGGAAAACACGTAATTTGGGTCACACAATAAATATCTGATGTTACAGTAGAACTTCTGTGATATTTTGTAGAAAAAAAATTAATAAAGAAACGTTTAAGAAGTTATAAATTTTCATTGTATCCATATAACAGTTTCAACCATGAGGTTTTTGGAGACTCAAAGAAGTTGATCACACAAGAGTTCGCCAAGCAGGGCTACATTGAGTATACTCGCCAGCAGAACTCGGATCCCCCTGTGTATGAGTTCAGATGGGGACAAAGAGCCAAGCAGGAGATATCAAGAAAGAATTGTCTGGACTTTGTCAGTCAGGTGAGCCACATAGTTGTACAGGTACAGAGCAGTGATTCAATTACTCATGTTGACTTTATTAACACGTAAGGCAGGGAAAGAGGTTGATTTGTAAGACAGGGCAACATGGCCTCGTCATGGATTTGTACGACAGGGCTACATGAGCTTGTCTTTGATCTTTAAATCAAGACTACCTGACCTTGTCTTTGAAGTGTAAGACAGGGCTACTGTACATGACCTCAAAGACAAGACTACCTGACATCGTCTTTGAAGTGTAAGACAAGGCTACTGTACATGACCTAAAAGACATGACAACAAGACCTTGTCTTCGATGTGTAAAACAGGGCTTCTGTACATGACCTCAAAGACAAGACAAGGCACATGGCATCGTCTTTGAAGTGTAAGACAGGGCTACTGTACATGACATAAAAGACAAGAAAAGACAACATGACCTTGTCTTTGAAGTGTGAGATGAGGCTATTGTACATGACCTTGTCTTTGAAGTGTAAGACAGGGCTACTGTACATGACCTCCAAGCCAAGACAACATGGCATCGTCTTTGAGGTGTAAGACAGGTGTACATGACCTCAAAGACAAGACAAGACAACATGACCTTGTCTTTGATGTGTAAGACAGGGCTACTGTACATGACCTCCGAGACAAGACACATGGCATCTTTTTGAGGTGTAAGACAGGTGTACATGACCTCAAAGACAAGACAAGACAACATGGCATCGTCTTTGAGGTGTAAGATAGGGCTACTGTTCATGACCTCAAAGACAAGACAAGACAACATGACCTTGTCTTTGATGTGTAAGACAGTGTTACCGGTGCTTTATAAGATTAAAACCCTGTCACAACATACAGACAAGATGTTTAACCCTGCATGTTGGTTAGACAAATACACAGGTGCAAGATAGGGATTCAGATATTTGACCTTTTGGTTTGTCTTTTTTGGACTGGTTCTCAGGTCATTGATTACAAAGATGGTCCTATCCTTTGACCAAATGACCTCAGAACCAATACGAAAAAGCAAAGCAAAGCGGTCAAATATCTGATCATCTTTGTAACAGTTTCTTGCCAATACAAAATTAATAAAGATCAGTGTTTTAATTCCTGTCCAGACCATAAGAAACTGATGTAGCCTTACATATCGCATTACTCTATACTCAAGCTTCATAACTGTAATGAGATCAACTTTTAGAAGCAGGTGAAATGTCAATATTTTTCTTATAATAATTTTGTCACTTTTTGCAGTTATATGAACGTGACCCTGAGCAGTGGACATCTCAATGGCAAGCTGTATTGGAAGAAGGAGAGGCCATGGGCACCACCTCACAGGATTGACAGGACAAAACTCATTAGACATGAAATACTGGATAAACTAAAACTGAAATTAGAAGGAATGCCTGAAAAATAACATGGGTGGAATTAGATCAAAATAGGAAAGAAGGATTGGACAGACCGAGACAGTGAAAAAGGATGGAAGGAATGAGAGGACCATCTGAAAAAACACACGAACAGATTGGCCAGGGGATAAGACAGAGATTGAATAGTAACAGACAGGTTAAAATAAAATAACTGAGAACAAGGATAGATAATGAAGAGGATTCATTTCTATATCTAAAGGATTTCAGGACCTGGAAGTGTAAACATAAACGTGTGGTTAACATCAGGGAAAAAACATCACTGGAGTGGTAAGACAAGGGAGACAATCAAGTGATGACCACTGCTAAGTCCTAAACAAATAGACAGATGGAGGTGCTATATATTTCAACTGAAATAGAAAAATGGTTGCAATATTTACAGATAATGCACCCTATACAAATACCAGTAAAGGTGATAACAGGAAAAAAGGCTACAGTATAGGAATAAGTATAGAAAGGGATACATTTACCAGGTCAAGAGAAGGGATAATGAAAACAAAAGTATGTAAATGATGTAGGTGCTGAATTTACTGGAACCCAAATCTGCTGTCTTATTGGAAAAGTAGAATATTCTATATTCTAAAATTTTCAAATCATATAATATTTGGTGTTTGATATTTTTAGGTTATTGTTACATTTATCTTTTTGATATTCATGAACAGAACAATGATTTCTAGCTGGCTGTAATTATGATATACTAAAGAAAGGAGTTGTATGTGCAATGTGAAATCGATGTGGTGACTTTGTGAAGTTGATGTTTGAAATTTCAGATAGAGAATTTGATGTGTTAACCCTTTCACCTCTGTATACCATAATGAGCTCATCCATATCAATGCATGGTAGAGTCCACTAAAGGTACACAGGGGATGAACAGGTTTCCACTGAAAGCTTGATGATCTGTGTGCATGTTTCCATCGTGAAATAGATGTGTGAGAGTTTTCTTGAAAAAGTTTTTGAGATGTATTTTTGCATTGATAAAAAGTTGTGTGAGAATTTTCTCTGAGAATACGATTATGATATTAGAGTTTCCACTGACCATTAGTGCTTTGAGAGTTTTTACTGAGAAATTGATCTGTGAAAGTTTACATTGGTCTTGAAAGGATTTTGCATTGAGAAATTAACAAGTTTATAAATGTTGAGAAATTGGATATGTATTTTGAGAGTATAAACTGTGAATTTGAAAAATACCTTGTGTTTTAATGAGGATGAGTGATGGAGAGCATCTGTTGGGTGGAAAGTTACTGTGTGATGAATATATTCGTCAAGTCTACAGTATTGTATGTGACATTGCGTAATAAATATTATTTTTTAGAATTTGTTCATTGTAACATTTTGTCAAGGTCACAGCGAATTAGGGTTTTAGAGTACTAGTCCCACCAAATTCTTACTGTCAGGATCCTAAAACAAATTTTGTAATCTGTCAGCTTATCCTTTAAACAACTTCTTTTGAAGAATGGGAAGGCCTAGATCATATTTAGGTTCCTAGGTTTGAGCCAAACAAAGTTTGCAAATGAAAATGACCTTGACCTACTTTTAATGTCACTGTGGTTAAAAATGTCAAAAACTTAAAACAGCAATCTGGTTAAAATGCAGCTCCTCATTATACTATCGTACGATAGTAGAATGATGGTATAATAAGGAGCTGAATTCTAATCAGATTGTTAACAGCTTCTTCTGAAGGAACCAAAAGACCTAGTCATGACATTTGGCTGGTAGCTCTATCGGATGGAGCCTGAAAAGGTTTGCAAATGACTGACCTACCAGTGGGTATTTTTCTGGGGCCATTACTGGGCCCCATTCTCAATTGAAGTTATTTATATTGATGACTCATTCCCAAAAGTGCAGTTTACTCCTGGAAATTTCCTTCCCAATTGGTATATTTTCTTCCCAAAAAGAGACAAAAAAGACCCATATAAAGTCATGATATTTAGCTGGTAGCTCTCATGAGATGAAAATTAACACTTCCTACTTTCAAGGTCACAGGTGTCAAACATGTCAAAAACCTCAAATGACTTCTGAAGAACCAAAAGTAATAGAATCATAATATTTGGCTTGTAATTTTCTGAGATGGAGCCCAACAAAATTGGAAATTGACCTTGACCTACTTTCAAGGTCACAGGAGTCGACAATTTCAAATGATTTTTTCAGAAGAACTGAAAGGCTAAGAGTCATGATATTTAGCTGGTAGTTCTCCTGGATGGAGCCTGACAAAGTTTACGAATGAAAATGACCAACCAGTGTTTTTTCTGGGTCTAATACAGGGCCCCATTCCCAATTGAAACTTTTTCATATTTATAGCCAATTCCCAAAATTTGCAGTTTACTCCAGTCCTGAAAACTTCCTTCCCAATTGGTTCCATCCAAGGATACTACCAGCCTAGCTTGGACGTAGATTATCGGAGTGGAATTAAAGATCTGCTTTTAATAAGATTGTTTCAAATTGTAAAATTTGTTTTCTTTTGGTAATCCATTCCACCCGGGGTGAAGGTAAAGTTTACTCTAGTTTATGTAGAGACAATTTTACTCGTACATGTATTTTCTTTATATTCAGAAGGAAATGATAAAATTGTAACTGAATTTAATAACAGAAATACTGATGTAAGATGGAATTCACTTTATTTTTTATACATATCACAGACACAACACACTTGAAGGGCATAGATATGTACTCAGATGTGCTTAATGTTGGCACTGATTGCTGGATTTGACATTTTAAGTCTGCATATTTGAAAAGGATGTATGTGTCTACAATCTGTTTTCTCATTGGAAGTAGAAATATTTAACATTACCCAAAATAGATAAAGTTGTTTAAAGGTGAAATATAAGTGAGCAGAAATGTTCAGATTCTAACTAACCAAACTAATGCTTTATGACTAGAAATTTGTCCCAGACTAAAACAATGTCACATAAGTAAAGTTTACAGAAAGTCATGTCACATGCTGTCATCATAGTGGAGCAGTAGTATGTGAAGTTGCTGACCCAAACGCAAAAACTTAACCATACAGACAAACAGACAAGGGTAACACTTGACGACCCACAACTCTTTACTGCAGGGCATAAGAATGTTCACATTAGCAATGTTGCCAAAACATATATTTCATTGTGTGTCAGTACGTTTGCACAGGCTTATTATTGGTAATTTCAGTAACAGTGAAATCTATGAAAATTACCACTTTGCAAACTTTTCTAAATGTTAAGCAATGTTATTGTTACTAGCTGTGTAAAGTGCCCACAGTTTTACTCCTGAAACAGTTTATACCTATCAACTGCCCCCAATACCTTTGTTAAAAATATAAATGATGGGGACAGTCAGTATCAGACTAACTACTGTCGTCACTTTCATTTTCCACTCCATCTGTTTCTGATTGTTGCTTAATATATCCTTCACCTCAGGGGAGACATGCACTACCCCTCCACTGCTGTCTCTTACAATCTCTGATTCATGGAGTTTCTTTAGGTCAGTGATTTCCCTGTCTATCCTGTCCAGCAGGATTTTCTGATCTTTGACCTTCTGTAAGATTTCTTCCAGACACTTTTCCATTGACACTCTTTGCTTCTGCGACTTGTTAGTTAACTCTGTATGAACACTTGAGTGCCCTAGCTTACTTTGTATTGAAGAGATAAGCTCTTCCATTTTGTCCTGTTGTTGCTGAAACTGTTCACCAAGGTTTCCCATATCACCTTTATAATCATTTGCTAAATCTGTTGCTGATGACACAATTTTATAGACTTTGTTCATCCTATGTTCATTGAGAATAAAACTTATAATCCCTCCTAAACAAATGCCAACAACAGATAAAACATATCCGAACTGCTGAGATCTTTGAGACTGGGTACGCTCAATCGCCTGACTGGATCTTATAGACGAGGAAAACTTTATGAAGAATTTCCTCTCCGCCTCTTCCAGAACAGTTATCTGTTCTTGAAGTTCATCTACCTGACCATACAGGTTATTTTCTTTCTCCACTATTTTCATGTATTCAGCGGTTCCTCTTATGCTGGTTTTTAGTTCCCTCTCCTCGGTAGCATGTTTAAGTAGTTTTTGCAAATCTTTCAGTACACGAGTCTGTTTTTGTCTCTCATCCTGTTTCTGTTCAAACAATTTCTCAGCCTACAATGACAGAAGTATATACATTATTACAATTAGAACAAACATTAATATAAAATGACATAATAATAAACAGGTAAAACTGGATAGTTTGGCAGAGCTACCTCCAATCAAACTACATTCGTTCTTACCAACTGGGCTACCTTGTCATGACAGTTGTTATCAGGCTCAGTCTAACTACAGATTTATCCAAAACAAAATTAAGGGGGATGTTACTGTAATATGTGTATGTATGACAACTTAACAACAGAGGAATTATCCAGTGTTTTACCTTCAGTTAGTCTGTTTCCTCCGAAATTTAGTGAGACGATATTCTAAGAGTAGTATATAGAGCGTTGACATTTAGAGAGACGATAGTCTAAGAGTAGTATATAGAGTGTTGACATTCAGTGGGCCGATGATAATATGATATAGAGCGTTGACATTTAGAGAGACGATATTCAAAGAGTAGTATATAGAGTGTTGCCATTTAGAGAGACGATATTCAAAGAGTAGTATATAGAGTGTTGACATTTAGAGAGACGATATTCTAAGAGTAGTTTATAGAGTGTTGACATTTAGAGAGACAATGCTAAGAATAGTAATAGGAAAATAGAGCGTTAGAGAGAAGATGATAAGAGTAGTATATACAATGTTAATATCTAGTGGGACGATGATAAGAGAAGTATATAGAGTGTTGACATTCAGTAGGACGATGATAATATGATAGAGTGTTGACATTCAGTAGGACGATGATAATATGATATAGGGTGTTGACATTCAGTGGGAGGATGATAATATGATATAGGGTGTTGACATTCAGTAGGACGACGATAATATGATATAGAGTGGGACGATGATAAGAGAAGTATATAGAGCGTTGACATTTAGTGGGACGATGATAAGAGTAGTAAATAGGGCATTGACATTTAGTGAGACTATGATAAGAGTAGTATATAGAACGTTGACATTTAGTGGGACTATGATAATAGTAGTATATAGAGCGTTGACATTTAGTGGGACTATGGTAAGAGTAGTATATAGAACGTTGACATTTAGTGGGACTATGGTAAGAGTAGTATTTAGAGCGTTGACATTTAGTGGGACTATGATAATAGTAGTATACAGAGCGTTGACATTTAGTGGGACTATGATAATAGTAGTATATAGAGCGTTGACATTTAGTGGGACTATGATAAGAGTAGTATATAGAGTGTTGACATTTAGAGAGACGATATTCTAAGAGTAGTTTATAGAGTGTTGACATTTAGAGAGACAATGCTAAGAATAGTAATAGGAAAATAGAGCGTTAGAGAGAAGATGATAATAGTATATAGAATGTTGATATCTAGTGGGACGATGATAAGAGAAGTATATAGAGCGTTGACATATAGTGGGACGATGATAAGAGTGGTATATAAGAGTGTTGACATTTAGTGGGACGATGATAATATGATATAGAGTGTTGACATTCAGTAGGACGATGACAATATGATATAGAGTGTTGACATTCAGTGGGACTATGATAATATGATAGTGTTGACATTCAGTAGGACGATGATAATATGATATTGAGTGTTGACATTCAGTGGGACGATGATAATATGATATAGAGCGTTGACATTTAGTGGGACGATGATAAGAGTAGTAAATAGGGGATTGACATTTAGTGGGACTATGGTAAGAGTAGTATATAGAGCGTTGACATTTAGTGAGACTATGATAAGAGTAGTATATAGAGCTTTGACATTTAGTGGGACTATGGTAAGAGTAGTATATAGAACGTTGACATTTAGTGGGACTATGGTAAGAGTAGTATATAGAGCGTTGACATTTAGTGGGACGATGATAAGAGTAGTAAATAGGGGATTGACATTTAGTGGGACTATGGAAAGAGTAGTATATAGAGCGTTGACGTTTAGTGAGACTATGGTAAGAGTAGGATAGAGAGCGTTGACATTTAGTGGGACGATGATAAGAGTAGTAAATAGGGGATTGACATTTAGTGGGACTATGGTAAGGGTAGTATATAGAGCGTTGACATTTAGAGAGATAATATTCTAAGAGCAGTATATAGAGCGTTGACATTTATAGAGACGATATTCTAAGAGTAGTATATAGAGCGTTGACATTTAGAGAGATAATATTCTAAGAGTAGTATATAGAGCGTTGACATTTAGAGAGACGATATTCTAAGAGTAGTATATAGAGTGTTGACATTTAGAGAGACAGAATGGTAAGAATAGTAATAGGAAAATAGAGCGTTAGAGAGAAGATGATAAGAGTAGTATATAGAGCGTTGATATCTAGTGGGACGATGATAAGAGAAGTATATAGTGTTGATATCTAGTGGGACGATGATAAGAGAAGTATATAGAGTGTTGACATTCAGTAGGACGATGATAATATGATATAAAATGTTGACATATAGTGGGACGATGATAAGAGTAGTATATAAGAATGTTGACATTCAGTGGGACGATGATAATATGATATAGAGTGTTGACATTTAGTGGGACTATGATAATATGATATAGAGTGTTGACTTCAGTGGGACGATGATAATATGATATAGAGCGTTGACATTTAGTGGGACGATGATATCCTCGGGTTACAGGTTTCCGCGCACTTAAGAAGCATTCGCGATTTCGTACTCATATCGGCAGAACACTGTTGAAATTACGGAAGACTGTCATGAACATGTATACAATCTACTAAAGGAAACAAAAAACTAGCAATATAAAAAACTGTATTTAAAAAAAATCAGAACAAACAATTTTTTGCAAATTTCTCCCGTCAGATTAGCCGTCATATGTTTCCGTGTGTCTATTTTGATTTAGTGTTCAAAGAAAGATAACTTGAATACACTAAAAAGAAATTCTCTACAGTGACCTGCAAGAACAAAAGCTTCGTTTGGAATAAAAAATATATCGGAAGTGGACAAAAATGGGTGAGGAGATGTGGCCTCATTTGCATACGACATTTTCGTACGTTTGTCAGACTACAGAAAAGACTGGTTCACGAATGAAATATATCACCGTTTTTCAGGTATGGCTTCATTTTGAGCAAGATAAAAAGAGCATTAAGCAAAACTGCATATTTATGCATGTTTTTTAATCGTTGATTAAATCTTATGTTTTCCAGACGAACTTCCGGTAATTTTTTTGTCAGTTTACAGACGATGGCCAAACGTCTAAAATATCCTTGTGTTGTGTCGAGATATAGCTTGATAAAATGTCTGCGTGGAAATACATAACGCGCGGAAACTGGTGTCTAGACGATAATATGATATAGAGCGTTGACATTTAATGGGACGATGATAAGAGTAGTATATAGAGCGTTGACATTTAGTGGGACTACGGTAAGAGTAGCATTAATGAACTGACCATTTATTTTCTACGCTTTGAATGAGTATATACACTAAGTGTGGGCTTGTGACACAGGATCATGAAAGTATAGTTGAATACGTTTTACTTGAAGTACGGACGAGTTATTTCCCTTCAAATCATTGATAATCATACAGGTAGCATCCGAGAAGTTCCGAAAGGAAGGTAAATAATAACTTTTTTGTTGTGTCGTTGGAATTATCCCAAATGGGACGATGCTTTTACATAGCCTAGAATTAATTATCTCATTACCACAAGTACAGCTTCCTGTGAGTGTTTGACTTCTGTCTGTCCAGACACCTGACCGAGAACCTTGAGCCATCCTGAAATCCGACCACCGGTGACTTTCACCAGCACGTCGTCTACTTTCTTTACACCTGTTATCGACTGGCAGTGTCTGGTGATGACGAAAAAATGTCTTTTGTTGGCTGAAAGCAATTTAGTCATGAATATGATGGCCATATCATAAGTTTCTAAGAAGAAATGTCACAATGAAGTGGTCCCTGTAGACTCCTCTTCCGACGGATTACCGGTGTGTTCGACGTCAATGAAAAGCTTGATGTATGAAGGTCTAATTCAAACGCCAAAAAGATCATGTCAAGCTATAAAAAATGTTGATGAGGCTGGTTGATTGATCTTCCCATGTTGATTGTTGACAGAATTCATTTGCGTCATACACAGATATGCTTAACTTACGTTATTTTTTCTCTGGCAAGTAAGTAGTATGATGATGTTGTACCAATGTGCATTAAACTTTCAGAAATATTCTGAAAGTTATCGCTTGTATTCTAGACTTATGCAAATGGACAAATGTCAATACTTACAGTGATATGTGTACCACTAGATGAGCATCTAAACAGTAATGAGGTCTCCAGAGTATCTAGATGTAAAGTATTGGCCTTAGAATATTGCATGTGCAAATCAATTAATTACTCATTATCCTTCTGCATTCTGTCTATCAGAGTTATAGGTAGTCATATTCTACACAAGATATTGCCAACAAATTGAATCATTAGCATTAGCATTTTATCCATTGAATGGAGCATCCGTTTAAGAGTTTTAAGGTTCTGTGTTTTAATCCAGGACAAGCCCTGTTGAATTTTCCCTCTCTCGTTACAACTTGCAGTGGAGTCTAGCTCAGCAACCACGTCCCTTGCAATATGGTTGGAAAGGAAAATCCAAATCTGGGTTTTAATGAGTGTTGTCTTTAATTTGGGTACTAAGAAAAAAGAAGTAGCTATAAGGGTATAGCAGAGCTGGGGTAGGTGATCATGACAAGCTGTGACAAGGTAGTTCAATTGTTTTGATCATCCATCTAGAGTTTGGAGGACCTGGGCTCAAATAACAATCTGGCCCCATTATCATAGCATTTCCCATCTCTTGTTAAAGTTACACAACTTTTACTGCAAACAGAGTGTTATTAAATTATAAATACGTAAGTTAAGTGGTGAAAGAGTCTGAAAGATCGAAGAGCTGTCCATGTTTGAGTATTTGGTCACATATTCAAGTCCTAGTCTGACAACCGTGTTGCATTTTTATGCTGTCCTATACATATACTATTATACACAGGTTGCTGAAGGGTTATAAGTTATCTACAGGCTGTGTTTGGTTTATGATAATGAATATTCAATGTATTCCATGATTTGATCGCAAAACTTAACATGAACAAATTAATGTTGTAAATCATTCTATTAAAAGGATTTCTTTTTTGTACAGTGTGATATGAAAATTGCCATTTCTTTCACATCCTCATCAATTGAACCAAATATATGTGTCATGTTGCAGGCGTGTTAAGATTAATCACTCCTATGCCTGCCTTATTAGCCTGGCATGGCTGATGACTGTTCTGCCTTCTTCTGTGTATGGAGTTTGCCAGAGTTCCACTCCTAAGGGAGACAACAACAACTTACTGACAGTAATGGGAGTCCGGGCTGATCACACCGTATCTGCAAACCTCAATACAAAAATACAATATCAGTTTGTATCTCCAGAATATAGTTATCTTTGGACAACAGCATTGGTAAGACTGCATTATTGCTAAATGTAGAGGTTACATATCTCCTGAATGACAGCTGGTTATATTAACGATTTCAGATTAAAATACTTACCAATAAGTTAAAATTCATTCAGAAACGTTCTATTGTCTCTCTATATAAAGAGAAACCGACTTTTTCAAAAGACGTAAAATAAGTTTTCAATTTCTGTTTGTGTTCAAAAGAAACTTTGGCCTTTACTATTCATTACAAACTGATAAATCTTATTCCGAATCTCTATATAATTTTCATAGTAAACACTGAATATTTTCGCTAGTTTAACATGAAATCAAACAGCCCGAGTCATAGGGCTTGTGGAATTTCTCACCCTTGGATATCTTGTTTTGGACAGTATAGTACAGATCATTGAGACTATCTATGGACAGTATACTAAAAGTACAAATCAGTTAGATAATAGTTTAATCTTAAGACAGAATATTACTGATTACAAATCACTGAAAATATAGTTTTATCTATACACAGAATGTTACTATTCAAAGAACAGTGAGACAGTATATTACAGATAAATGAGAAGACATTTTGATAAACGGATAATATGTATATTACAGATAAATGAGAAGATAGTTTGATAAAAGGATAATATGTATATAACAGATAAATGAGAAGACAGTTTGATAAACGGAAAGTATATTACAGATCATAGATAAGTGAGAATATAGTTTTATCTATGATTCTGGACAGTATATTACAGATCACATACAGTATGTTTTTAACACAAACTTCATTGGCTACAAAAGTTCACTTTTATCATGCAGTATATATCAAGCTAAGAAAACTTGCCACATATTTTACAGGTAACGCCCTTACCATCATGGCTGAGGTACAATTCATCCTCTACCACTGTGTACGGTACTCCAGTGGAGACGGGTGTTACCATGGTTAGGCTTGACCTTACACATCCTAGGATGACCAATACCTGTAACAGTAGCATAGCTTCTGACCTCACCATTGTTGTCCAAGATGCCGTAGTGACCAGTCCAGTTCCTACAGGTATAGTCACACAGCCGTCGGCAGACAGTGTCATTCTGTCTTATCATAGACCTAGCATCTGCATGCTTTTTATTTGATGAAGATGTGTAATGGTAAGCTGATGTGTTCTGTGAAAAGTGAAACAGAATTTTGCATGAGAGTCTCTAAATATGAAAAATACTGAAAGCGCTGGCAACTAAATTGTGGAACTTGTAATGATGCAACATCTTAGCATATAGCCTTGATTGTGGTTTCAATATTTGCATTTGAACAGTGAACATTATTATTTATGATCAACATGTCATTCTTGGAAGTGGTTGTCAACAAGGAAATATTTCCCAATGTTGAGATTTACTTCGTGTTTGACCAGGCCATTTAATAGCTTGTTGACATCTGTGAGAATTTGAACAAGAGTGCTGCCATGTCATTTGATGAGAATAACATTTGGAAGGAGTGATACTTTTCAGTTGTTGCCATGTTTATGGGTTGACATAGATAATTCTTCTTCTGACTGACGCCACTTCAGGGTAACGTATAGTGTTAATTTGATTAAGTTGTTTGTATCATGGAGGACACTGATCGATATAAGAGTTTTCAGTTGTAAGATAAATATCATTGTTACAGAGATTTAAAAAAAAACACTAAAATTACAGGTATAGAGAGGGTAGGGTTTGATTAAGCTATACATGTATATAAACTGTATTTTTTTCTCAAGTGTACCATAAATCATTTACACTGTAATGGAGAATTTTTAACCCAAGTCAAATATTTGTCCTTCAGTAATATATTTAAGTCTATATTAGCTATTCACTAATTTCACCAATCTGTTGAGTTACCGTCTACAGTATATTTTTGTGTACTAAATAATTAAAGGCAATATAACGGAAGGTGAAAAGAATAATAAATAAATCTGTATAAGTTGGAGAGGAAAAACTATAATAATTCAGATACATGTATCTTGCAAAAAGTTATTTAGATGCATGAAAATAATAGATGTTATTATAAGTTATTTTCCAACCTTAAACTTTCTGTGAATAAGTTGTTTGAGCACATTTGCAAAAAATAATTATCCTAGACTAATGTGTTTATATTGAATGTGTGTACACGTTTTGTTGTTACTGTTTCAGGGGAGATAACCTAACCTGTCATTGTGAATGATTTCTGCATGATACGTCTGCATGTGTTGTTTGACCTGTATTTGGATTGGGTCATTGATCAAGGCAAAGCTACAACCATCCTGTTAATATGCATGTTGCATGATAACCATTTTTTGGGTGAGTATGGTGATATGGTCCGTATAAGCTGAGTATTCACAATACATGTACTATCACAGACTACAGTCAGGGCAAAAATGATATGTAAACAAGGTATTCCGTCTTTGCATATTGCAGAGTTATCTTCTCTTGTGAGCAGGTATTGATTGTTACGTCATTGGTTTGTGTGAGAAAATTACGTTGTTTTCTCAAAAATTGACGACGTTACTCTCACAAACAAATGATGTAACAATCAATACTTGCTCACAAGAGAGGATAACTCTGCAATACGCAAAGACGGAATAGATTAAGGTCATTCATAGTCGTCCAAACGTCGCACATAAACATTATCGTACTAGTCATCCAAACGTCACACATAAACATTCCACGAGCTGTGCTTTATAAACTTGTATACAATCTCAGTGGTAAATGAATCCTCCGAGTATACAGGTGCTGTTCCATTGAGTGCCTTGTATACACAATACTCTAAAATCTTGTTTTGATCATGATCTGTGTCATGCAAGTATCCAATCCATTAATTCTGATGTGATGTTAATTCTCTCTTCTGAGTAAGGGTGACAAGCTGTGCTGCTATGTCACTCAAACAAGACAGCATACGCCAAGGCCTCAACAGTTACTCCGTAACATAGTCCGAATTATTCTGACGTTTTATCGACTTTTTTCATATTGGTCTGTCGTCGATTTACGTCAGAACTCCGGCCCTCTATAATATGCGGGAAATATACGACCCGCGCCCAGAGCGCACTTCAAACTGATATTTTAGAAACAAATCGTCACTTTCACACGAATGTCGCACATGGATCGAAATATCTATTCTTTATGCACAAGATGAACATACATAACAGGCCTCAACCAACCAATACAATCACTTAAAACATATTTTTTCAAGCTTATTCTGTTTTACTCTAGTTTTTTGGTAGCCCCGTCTTCTAATGTCACGTGACTAAAATCTCGCCGGCCTACGTCATAATGTTGGGAAATACCTTCGGTAACGCGAGATCTCGTCAAGTCATGTGACATTGCTCATGGCCTAATTTCCATTAAAAACATGGGTTGGTATAGAAAACGTTGGAAAATACTTTTTGTTATGTTTTTTGAAACATGTTATTGATACCACCTAGTGCATAAAGAATAGATCTTTCTATCCATGTGCGACATGTGTGTGAAAGTGACGATTTGTTTCTAAAATATCAGTTTGAAGTGCGCTCCGGGCGTGGGTCGCATATTTCCCGCATATTATAGAGGGACGGAGTTCTGACGTTAATCGACGACAGACCGATATGAAAAAAGTTGATAAAAGGTCAGAATAATTCGGACTATCCGTAACAGTGCTGTAATGTGTTTTTTGCTCTTCTCACATAGAACCTACAGTGCTAATTTAAGAACAGCAATACCATTTTGGATCATGCTATATACAAAAAAGGGATGCGCAAGTTTTATTGCATTGAAAGAAAGTTATAAACTTTGTTTCAAAACTGACAATTCTTAAATACATATTTCTTATATTAATATGGCAAAAATATAATTATGCATGAATCACTCAAAATTCATACTTTCTTTACATGTATACAGCCAAAATAGCACTACATGAAATCAAAGCAATAGTCTGAATTGCTATCTACTGTATATAGAGGTTCCCCATCGAGTGATGGTTGGTTTTCATTTTTAATTAACTTGAGTTAGTTAATTTTAAAATTGTATTAAGACACAAGGTTTACCTACTGTCTTGCACAATTTGAAAATTAACCAAGGAGAGTTTGATAAACATGATAATCAGCAATCGCAAGTTTGTGGACCTTTTTCTCCCACAGTGTTCAGATGTAATGTCTTGAAAAACAGTAAAACCCTGCTCACTCCAACCTGTGAGGTCCAGATCAATAGGTCGAGGAAATTCAATTAGATATAAAGTAGCTGAACAATGAAAACATGTAGCCATAGCTATAGGTATTAAGAAAGGAAATAAAATCTAAAAAGCTGCATGTCGTTTTTGACATTTTCCATCATACTGTAATCGGCTAGGTTAATTTTACAAAATATCAAAACCAGAGGAACTCTTCGATCATTTTAGAATGAAGAAAATCTTGAATCCCTGTTATCATAATGTTGATTGATAACAAAATTAACAATCATGGCGTATTCAAGTTTGAACAGGGTGACGGTAGAGTTACTTAATGATATCTCTGTTAATCCTCCATTACGTCCGTCCGACACAATAAGCACAATGAGTGTGGACCGCAGTCTGTGCCTCCAGGCATGTCAATGGCATGCAGGTGTGTCTACCTGTTGGATGAATCGATAGGTAAAATACTAAGGTTTTGAGTGGTCAGGGATAAATCAGAGTTCGAGGAATACAGGGTATTCGGGTAATGGCTGTTCGTGTAATCCAAGGTGGATTCTAAATTGAATATATAAGAACACGGTCGGGACCAAGAAAAATTATTTGAGGAAAAGGATGTATTCGTGTTATGCAGAAGTGGGGTTTCACTGTATATTGTTCCTGTTTCCGATTGTGGAAACAAGTGTCATGAACTATGACATCACAATGAAAGATGTTGTCGCAAGGTATTGTTACTTGACATCATAATTTGAAGATTGACCAATAAAATAATGTCCAGGGTGTTATTCACTAGTGGGTAACCAAAAACGTTTATCAACTCCTAGCAGGTTTATCCATTGAGTGAAGAGTTATGAAACCTAAAGTGGTTGTGGGAGAAAATGGTTCCTCAACCTGTGACTTGTGCTGGTTGATTCTCATTTTTATCAATCACTCAATAATTAATTGACTCTAGATTATCCTGATGTCTTTTTAAAAACATTTAACACTTAATTAACAAAAGTTCCAGAAATATGACTTAAGAAAAGAGCCATTGTTTTGGAATGTCTTTTATGTATCTTGGCCATGAATATAATAATCTTTTAATTATCATTATTTCAATTATATCAGTACAATTTCAGAAATTCATTCTCATTCAAGCAGAAAGACTGTAACGTAGTAATATATCTTCCTCGTTGTGTTTCAGATAAATGTTCCGGTGCTGCTCCATTGCTTGAAACACCTGTCGACCAGCTCAAGGTTCAAGTAGGACGTCCATTCCTGTACAGTGTCTGTGACACTTTCAAGAGCACAGGTAACTCAGATCTTGCTCTGATGTTGACCTTACCGTATGGGAAGGATGTTCCTCATAATTTTTGGCTTCAGATGGATGAATCATCAAAACTTCTGTATGGTTTACCGTTTACAGCAGATACCATGGTAACTGATAGTGTTACTTTAGTTGCTATGGATACATGTGGTCAGAAGTCCAGAGATGCAATTCACCTTGACATTGAACCATTACCAGAGGTCACCCACATAATGACCTTAACTGTAACTCCGGCAACAATGAGCAAGGGTAGTGATGAATCTGTGATGTTACAGGTACTTGTTGTTTCTAAGCTTGATACCTGGTTCAGGAGCATACATGTGGAGGCTGATATTTATGTAGTAGGTGTTGAGTGGAAGGGAGACCAACTGGTTGTGCAGTTCACACTGTCTGATTCCTCCATCAGTACATGCAGTAAACCCTACCTTCAGGACCTTATAAAGGAGACAACACTACCAGCATTTTCCTGTCTAATGGCACCCATGTTTACTGTAGAGGACATGATCTCGGTGAATTTCTCTGACAACTGTGTTGACACCTACCTGCGTCCGTCCAAGCCATCCAAACATGGCATGTCAAAGGTGAAGCCGATCCTAGACCATTGGCTGGAGGTTGTTGTGCCTTGTGCAGCCTTCCTTGTTATCGTTACTGTTATCGTCATTGTACTCATGGCCTGCAGCAGTAAATACCCTCATCGCAGGAAGCGATATGTTTTAAAGTCAGAGATTCCAACCTACCTTGAGGATAGGAAACCAATTATCTTCCCAGACGAGACTCGACAAAAGGACAGCTCGCTTGAACCACGGCCACCAATATTAATACCTGGCAACGGTGAGTATGAACCATCTCCATGGCAACAAGAGGAAGAAGAAAATGGAAGCCTGCCCTTGTTGAGAGGTACACCTGACCGGAGTGCCCCAACACCACCAGAATATCTCCTCAATGACATTGGGGTACCCCCTCCCTACAGACTACCCCCTCCCTATCACTCCACCCACCCCACTTGGTGAGAGGTCACCCCTCTCCTGTGGGTAGGGAAAATCTAGTCTCTATGATTAAAAAGAACACTGAATTTGAAGTTTGCATTGAATGCTGCACATTATTTGTGGCGCTTTGAATATTTTGAGTTTAGACACACTTCATCCATTTATACAGATGTGTGTAGTTGCTGCCAGTAAGTACATTTCTGTTGCTTACTGTTGAATAGTATACATGTAGGTACCCTTTTGACCATAAGATATTTTTGGAAACATGTTTTAAATATCACAAAACACTTGTATTAATCATTTTTGACCCTTTACTATTATATGCATAATTTATTTGTAAAGTAATTACAAATTTGTCATTTTCATTTGATTCAGTTCTAGATAAATATCAGTTTGTTTCAGTTATTACCACCTTCTAAATGTGCATCACTACCCATTCATCTGGAAAAGAGGTTCACAGAATTTTATTTACATTGTCACTGCATAACAACCAAAGATACTGTCAAAACGATGTGGTTTTTTTTTACATTTTGACTGTAAACTATTAGTGATATCGAAATGTTCACAGTTGTGATCCTGCTGCAGTTAACGTAGCATGTCATTATTAACCACAAGTATAGTCATCTTCACAGATCAAACATTTCCCCTTTTACAATATTACATCGATATCAAATCATAAATTAAGGTAAAACAACCTGAAGTGAATCACTGACTATAAGTTATTTTCTGGGAAGTGATTTATTAGGCTTTATACAATATATATAACTTATGTATATACATGAACCTGAATTCACAGCTATACGTTTTACATTTATTGCCCTTGTTGTAGGGAAACACAATTGTTAGTTTCCCAGAAATGAATCCTGTTACACAAGTGCAAGATTTTATCGTGATTTTTTCTTACTAGTCATTAGTATTTGTGGTACATATTTATACATTGAGGGAATATTTTAAGTTTAACTTTACTTGGGGCTTGTTTCATTTCACTGGATAAAACTTTTTTTGTGTCAATTTGAAGAACTCATGTGTTGTATTTGTATATGTAACAAATGTATCATCTTCTGTTTCTAAACTTTATCAAGTTGAATATGTGTGTAAGATTGCTTGTCAACACATTAAACTGACCTTCAGTCACAATGGTTCAGAATAATAAAAGCCCCTGTTGTAGACCTGTACCAGCCTATTTGAGCTGACCATGGCCGTTTTCGTTTAAACAGTTAAACCAGTCAGACCACAGTTGTTCATTTATTAAATTATGTTGCACCTAGTAATTTGATGCTTCTTTCAGGCGAGCCTTGACAAAGCCTTGCAAGGCCTGCATAAACATTTGCAGGTCCGTCAGGATTTATACCCAAAAAATGTTACATTTAAAAGCTAACACACATTCGCGTTACAGGTTGAAACGGTTAAACCGGTTGAACCTGTAAAGAAAACGACATTTACAGATCTGGACTGAGGCTGACCTTCCGGAAAATTTGGAACGTGTAGATTGAGGGGTCCAGACGTGCCTAACCGAAACTAAAATGCTGACTATTGCCAATTTGCGTTATTTCTTTCTAAATCAATGTCAAGTCACATGTAGTTTTTAAGTTACGTTATATAATTCAGTGGACGGATGAAAGAAGGTCATAATATTCTTGAAACACTGTTTTTTATTCTCCGAAACTGTGGATTTTTAGCTCTCCTTATAGAACGGTCCAAGTGTGTTCGTTTATCGTGGAAAATTTCTGCACCACACATACCATTTCAACCGGGATACGCGAATGTAGCCTGGTTGTTCCGCATAAACGAACAGGCCCCATGTTTAACATCAAGGGAGATAAGAGGGGACGGATAGTTAGGAACAGTCTAGTAAATATGTAATACATGTATAAAACTGTATAGTTGGTGCTGATTTTTTTTACATGATATGTATAATAAGAGACTTACAAATATGAATGGATCGAAGACAGGAAAGCTTTCTGTATATGTTAGATATAAAAAATTATATAATATATAAACTGTTACATTACCTTTTGTAAACTACAGACTTGATTGGTCTTTGGTAATTAATCATATCTTCATTTAGTTGAGAGGGTTATATTAATATTTTACAGGATGAAAAGTAATCACTTTATCAGGCTTTTGTGAGTTTTTTGTGTGTGCTTCCATTCAGTCTACACCTGATTAAATTTTGGTGGTAATTTGTCAAGGTTAAAGAGTCAGACGTCATGGTCAAAGATCACACTTGACCACTTTTGAAGTAAAAAAAATTGTGTCCAAGATATCTTACAAATCCCGTACTAGATTCAGTATATATTTGCAACACAGTATGGTAACATTGAGTTAGGTAAAAACCTGATTAAATTTTAGCGGTCATCGGTCAAAGGGTTGAAGGTCACACTTGACATATGAGTTGGGTTTTTTGTTTTGTATCTTTGTGAGCCCCTGCTCATGACCACTCTTTTTTTTATCATATTGCATGTTGTAATACAGTATAATACATATCATATTTATAACTGCCATTTTATCTTTCTCATGTTTGGATACTTACAACTTCATTATCATATTTTATCAAAAAGTTAGTGAAGCAAACATTCTCAAAGAGTTGTCCAGTATACTCAAGTGTCTTAGTACCAAAAGGCTTAATCTCTTGTAAATAGGTAGTTTTAGATATGAATTTATAACATTTTACATTATCCGAAAAGATGGATTAAAAGAATAATCCAAAATTGTTTAAGTGTGTTTTGATACATTTTATACACATATACTTAAAAATTGTATCTTTTTACATGGTTGATATGTCGTATGTTTTTTACAGTCAGCCCTTCCTATTAGGACAATCTTATCTTGTACTCAGGATAGAAATGGTGCATGGCATGTAAGTATTAAGGAGATGGGAGAATGATATGCCATACTGTATTATCACTTGCAATTTAAATCAACATGGCAATCAATCAGTCTTACAATTTGCATTACCGTAGAGTTTAATTACTGTATTTATCCTGCAATAATCCAGAGGGGGTAGAATCATAATCTCCGACTTAAAGTAAGAGGTGGGCTTATTACACGACAATGAAAAAACTGATATTGGCATTTCTTCTACAATAGATTTGGATGGGCTTAATTACCATATAGGGGCTTATCAACAGATAAATACTGATATAAATGTCACATGTGCCAGATTTTAAACTTGCCAAATTTTTACTGGTGCATCTCCGTTTCACAGCGGTGAGAGATTTAAAAACAATTGGTGCCTGTGTATCCCACTGAAATGCCTAGCTGTCTTTGATGCTCAGGACCAAATATTAACAACAGACTATCACATGTGAGGTGTCAAGTTGGTAGGGTTGACTGTAAATGACCTCAATTTCTCAGAAAAATAACTAAATTTAGTTTTTATAGAATAAATTATTTATTGAAATGTTCCATTAATTTTAAATATGAAATATTAGGTTGGTGAAAAAGTGAAGATTAAGTGTCACATTAATATATGTGGTTCTGTCAAAGTTTTGTGATGTTGTTGATGAAATCATTTCAAAATTGAATGATTTTGTTTTAATTAGATGTTAGGAAAACAATTTAAAATAGGAAAATTAGTTTTTGGTTTGTTTTTCTTCTCCTTTTTTTCAAGAAATTGAGGAGACTGTTTTACCATAATTTTTTCATGGCCAGTGCTTGATTTTGGTGCTGTTAATTGTATATTTCATCATAATATGTACTTGTTTTTGGACATATATAATTAAAGATACCTATCTCGCCTTTTAGTAATCAAAGTGTGTTATAATTATTTATTATGTACCATTAAAGATTTTGATATTGTACTGTACACTCTGTCTAAGCTGGACTCTCTCCAATCTGGATTTTTGGCCTAAACCAGCCAAGCTATTCGGTTTCAACAATGACAATTCATAACAAGTAGACTCTCTACAATCTGGAACTGTCTGCAATCTGGCCATACTACCTGATTCCAGGGGTTTCCAGTTTAGACAGGGTACACTATAGTTATATATGCATGTGAACATATACCTATCTAATCATTAACACCTTAATCTCAATGCCATGTGTCAGACTTTTTTAAATGATAAACACATGTAATGTGATTGTTTTTATTGGGATTCCCTGCAAATCATGACTTTTGAACATTTTAAACTTGTTTATATTGGAGTTTACACTTTCCCTTTTGTATATTTATTGTGTTGTACATTTTACATGCCCTGTGTGGACTGGCTGTGACAGTTGTAAGAAAGTCAGTTTAAAGGTGTATATATATTAGGAGTAATTTGTCATTCTTTTGAAACGTCACATATTGACAAAAACAAATGTTTTGTGCAATATGTACTATATGAAACCTGTATAATCTGACCCCTGAGTATTCTGACAACCTATTTCATCCAATCCTAGTCATTCTAACATGAATATTCTCATGTCAGCTCATATTCAACATACAGCTATTGTCCCATTACTGATAACTTCTAAATAAAACTGCAATATTTTAACATCCTGTTTAACACAATCACCCCTAAAGTCACATTTGAACCTTCCCAAATCCAAGGCTGGGCAAGTCCAGTTTTAACATGTAGGGGTGAATGAGTTAATCCAGGCTATTTGCAGCATCCCACAGGGTTTCAGATTACACAGATTTCATTTTATAGCAAATACAGTATACTTGTGAGTGCACAGATTGTTGTTGATTTCTTCTATAATTAAAAGGAGTAAATATTTTGGATTCCTTTGATTGAATCTGTTGGAAATGATTCTCAAAACTGTACTACACAGTTTACATAGTTCTGTCTATAAATCTTTCTATAGACTTTTCTAACTAAATATACTTTCTGTTACAGAAATATTTCACCCATATCCACATCATACATTTAACACATTTTTATAGTCCGGTGCTTTGTATGGATTGTATAGATAACTTACAGAATCTGCGTTTTTGCTACTGTTTATACAATTGTGTGGCATGAGGATACATAATTTGAGCTAACGTCATGAGAACCCCAACAGTGTTTCTTTTCTTGTCAAAATAGCATTTTATGTTGTCATGTGACTGCAAAAACAACCTCTGGGTACTGCATTGGATCCAAAACAGGACCTGAAATTGTCATTTCTGAAATTTTCACTTCAGATCTGCTAATGTTACTGAAAACAATGACCAGATCGATATCAGTAATTTCCATCTGGTCTTGAGCAGATAAAATCGGGTCAGTTGGCATATATGTAGTTTGTAATTTTTCTTGTGCTTGGTTGTAATGATTTTGTTGTATTTCTTTTGTTCAATTTTGGTATGTATATAATTTCTTATGGTATTTATTTTGTGACTTGAGGTGGTTGTTGTGATTCTGTTTATGATTTTATAATTTATTCATCATTAATTTTGGAACTCTTACTAGAGATAGCTATGGTAATATATCATTAGATATAAAATGTCAGTGGTAATGAATTTGTAATATTAAAGTCAACTGTTCTATATGGTATGTTAGTGAAATTCTAATGTTTTTTACCAAATTCATATGACAATAGTTTTCCAAGTTCAATTTCATTCATTGGAGATTTCAACCAAGTAGAAACAGCAGCTACAATTAGTAAATTTCACAAGTAGGAAACTTAAATCTTAAAATGTGTTTTATCTCTCTCAGGTAGCTTTATCTTGTAGTTTATTTTAATGGATGGTTTTGCTTTAATTACCAGATTTCCTGCTTATTTCTCACTGTAGTTTTTGTGTGGATTATTTTGTCATGTAAGATATATACATAGACTATATTTATACCACTATTTCCTCAATAAAATAAAATGAAATGCAAGCTTTATTGGTGTTCTTTATAATATTTAGGATGTTTTTGGATTTAACTCTGTATCATTTTACCCGACAACAAAGTTATGGGATGAACTTGAATCAGGTTGTCTGTCTGGTTGTCCGTTTGCTGTCATTCTTTTATTAGTCATTGCGAGACTCTTTCATTTGTGTTTGTGGAAGATAGGAAAATTCCAACCAAGTGGTTATGAAGTACATGTATAGTAACCAAAAACTCAAAATTCACAATCTGAGCTAGGGTGCAATTTCCTAATTATAAAGGGTGTATAATGTTATCATGTACCTTTTTTAGCTCACCTGCCCGAAGGGCAAGTGAGCTTATGTCATGGTGTGGCGTCCGTTGTCCGTCGGTCCGTCCTCGTCCGTCAACTTTTTCTTTAAACAACTTCTTCTGAAGAACGGACAGGCCTAGAGTCATGATATTTGGCTGAAAGCTTCGTTGGTAGGAGCCCTACAAAGTTTGAGAATGAAAATGACCTTGACCTACTTTCAAGGTCACAGGGGTCAAATGTGTCAAACACTTCAAACGACTTCTTTTGAAGAACTAAAAGGTAAAAAATCTTCATATTTGGCTGATGGCTTCCTGGGATGGAGCCCAACAAAGTTTGAGAATGAAAATTACCTTGACCTTCTTTCAAGGTTGCAGGGGTCAAATGTGTCAAACACTTCAAACGACTTCTTCTGAAGAACTGAAAGGTATAGAATCTTTATATTTGGCTG